GTTGCATTTTCATCCACAGCAAGAATAGCATATAAGTCTAACTTGGTGACATCTAATGAAGGTGCTGTCATTGTAAACTTTGTTTTGTGTGACTAACGGTATACAACTACTTCCCACCGGGCGCAATTCAAGCGTATGATTAACGTCGACTAAAACGTGCCAGGGATGATGAATTATAACTGCGTTACGTTGTCAACAACGCGCACGTGTCAAATAATGACTTTTTGAGTTGTGTGTGATGTTATCTGGAGTTAACTTACCCAGAGCAGAGTTTGTGTTTAAGTGACGGGGAAGGAGAGAACACCACATATATAAAATGGCTTCGAAACAGATTGACGGTAAAATGATATGGGGTGGAAATGGTTTCTAGTTTCATCTCTACAGTAGGCCACTAGCCTAACGTCACGCTACCACAATATGGTACAATTTTGACAGTTTTCAGTGATATTTAAATAAATAAGATCTTGTATCTGGAATTTTTCTTGATTCTTGACAAAGACTGCCCATGGATACTGAATTTTGTATACTTTATTGATTCAAATATATCTGTTCACTAACCTTCTATATTTCTGTTTTTAGAGTGTGGATCAACAGATGCAGAAATGAAATGGTGTATGTATAATGTATAGATCATTTATCTATTGCCATATCAATTTGCAGGATTTTGTAGCTAACGAAACATTTAATTTTTGTTCAGTGATACATGCTCATGATGCTGTCATTTAGCTTTACCTAAAAGGTCACTTTGTAATAGAAATGTGTGATTCAATCTTCAGTGCGAATTTTATAGCTTTATTTATGATAATATCTTCCGAGCCATGTTTTTAAACGTACATATACTTGTATGTTGAAGATGCTTTGCTTTAATAAATAAGTTAGCATTTGAAAACTTTTCTTTTGCAGATTTTGATAAGAAAACAAAACAGATTGTGTTTGGTGATGTGTCGGCCATTGAACCAGGTAGCTGTCAATTTTAATTGTAAATATATAAGTAGCTGGGTTATTGTGAACATTCAGGTTAAATATATTTGTAATGTGTGATCACATTATGTTATATGTATTCTATATATATTTTTGTTTACACAAACTATTTATTAGATGATCACCTTGCATTCTTGATCAGTGTTAATAACACCAATCAAGTATATCAAGTATATTTGACAACGTTGTCATTTAAATATTAGAAAACATTACTTTACTCAAAGAATAATTGATATATGGAATAGTCTCCCACAAGAGGTTATATCATATCGTAACGTACTTGACTTTGAGAAAAACTTGGATGAATTCTGGAATGATCTTGAGTTGAAGTACGATATTCTATTAAATCCTATTTAAGTATGCAAATGAAAATAATTTCATGATACATGTATAACTTAACCAACCATCAGTTGTATAGCAGTCATTGGTTGACCCACTATGCTGATCACAATCATGAGCCTCAACACTTTCCATCAGTGAGAAAATACTTTATTGTTTGAGGAAATCGTCGACAGTTCCTGATTAATGCTGATCATTTGATTCATTTCAACAATTCTCCATTTTTTTTCTTTTTTCTTTTTCTAAAATGTTTGTATTTTCTTGAACTAAATTATATAAGTTTTCTTAAGAGTTTACTATTGCATACCGGGAAACTTTCACCCAATTAAATATTCACCCTTCACCGGTAAAATCTACATTATTCCAGCATTAATTACGCCATTCACTTGTAATTACTATTTACTGTATATTATGTACCAATATTTGCTGTCATGATAAATTCACCCTCATTGCAGAAGGCAAATACGGTGAATGTTAAGCTGCAGTGAAAATTTCCTGGTATACAGTATACATGTGCAAAGCATATTAAAAATAATAAAAGGTTACAACCTATACTATAATTATAACATGATTATTTGGGAACAACACATTATTCACAAGTGTAGAATCTACCAAATCAAATATGATTCAATTATCAGTTATGATCAGATCATAATGTGTTTTAGCAGCCAATGTTACAGTATCACTACTACCGGGTAATGTGAACGGATCTATAAAAAGTTTATATACACAGACAAATGTACCAATTTTTATATATTTCAGAATCAGAAGAGATGAAGGTCAGGAAATGATTTAGAATGAGAAGTATTCTGTTGTATCGGAAACAAAAACATATATAAAGTATACTTTCAGCTATCTGTTGTACGAAACACATTCAGTATAACTTAAATTTTGTATGAAGCACATTCAGTATAACATCATTGTTGCATGAAGCACATTCAGTATAACTTAAGTGTCGTATGAAGCACATTCAGTATAACTTCAGTGTTGAATGAAGCAAATTCAGTATAACTTCAGTGTTGTATGAAGCACATTCAGTATAACTTCAGTGTTGTATGAAACACATTCAGTATGATTTCAGTGTTGTATGAAGCACATTCAGTATAACATCATTGTTGCATGAAGCACATTCAGTATAACTTAAGTGTCGTATGAAGCACATTCAGTATAACTTCAGTGTTGAATGAAGCAAATTCAGTATAACTTCAGTGTTGTATGAAGCACATTCAGTATAACTTCAGTGTTGTATGAACACATTCAGTATAATTTCACTGTTGTATGAAGCACATTCAGTATAATTTCAGTGTTGTATGAAACACATTCAGTATAATTTCAGTGTTGTATGAAGCACATTCAGTATAATTTCAGTGTTGTATGAAGCACATTTAGTATAACTTCAGTGTTGTATGAAACACATTCAGTATAATTTCAGTGTTGTATGAAACCCATTCAGTATAATTTCAGTGTTGTATGAAGCACATTCAGTATAACATCAGTGTTGTATGAACTCATTCAGTATAATTTCAGTGTTGTATGAAACCCATTCAGTATAATTTCAGTGTTGTATGAAGCACATTTAGTATAACTTCAGTGTTGTATGAAACACATTCAGTATAACTTCAACATTGCATTGTTGTATGAAGCACATTCAGTATAACTGCAGTGTTGTATGAAGCACATTCAGTATAACTTCAGCATTGTATGAAGCTCAATTCTAAAATGAATTGATTTTTTTATCTAAATGTATCTCTTAATTAAAAACTAGTCACATGGATAGTCTTTGTAAGCAACTTGTCTTAAGACAGAGCTATTTATGTTTCCTGAAGACAGTCTGTTTATTGGAGAGACCTATATACTGTGAAGCCCACACATATCTCCCTTTTTATAGCATGTGACATGTCCCTGTGGTGTGGAATATCGTATGTTAGATCTGTTTTACAAGTTTATATTATTCAATTCTGCATTCTTTTTTAATTTCTGGCCATCTACAGGGTCCAGATAGCCTGTTATACGAGGTAAAGAAGAGACTAGATGTAGGGCCTCCCCCAGTACAGCTGCTGGACACACTAGACATAGATGGTATAGTCAACTTCATCAAGGATGGGAAGTGTAAAAATATCATCACCATGTCAGGGGCTGGAATTTCTACATGTAAGTAGTTATAATCTGTGCGCATTCACACATACAGTATGTTTAGTCATATATTTCGATATAAAAATGATATTAAAATAAGCCTATTTAATCACAATGTAGAGCAGACCGCTAGTATTTGTTGAGTGATCTTTGCTTTGAATGTTTTGCTAGCAGTTATTTTGACTATTAAAAAAAAAATCAACACACAGCATTGTACATATCACTTAATGTCTGCCAATTAGATAACAAATCTTTAATTAAAATGTTATGAGAAGGATACATTTCTGATTTTGTGTACTGGATAAATATTTAATATTACAGCGGCAGGCATCCCTGACTTCAGATCACCGGTGACTGGGTTGTATGATAATCTAGAGAAATATGACCTTCCTTACCCGGAGGCTATGTTTGACCTTGAATACTTCCAGGTTAGTAATCAAGCTGTAGTATGGATTAATATAAGCTCCAAGCTTGTTTTCCCATCCAATATTTATAGTTGTATTTGTAATATTGTTGATTATTGAATAAAATATTGTTTAAACTAAGCTGTAGTATGGATGAGGCAGAAAGTTAAGTTTAAGTTTGAACGAAACTTTTACATTTTATATGCTCAGGATCTGAGATTATGTGATGTGTTCTTGTGGGCATTGCTGCAAGCTTCTGGGAGAATGAGAATGGGTGAAAACCTATGATATTACTTTTACTGAAAGTAAGTTACATTAAGGTAATAGGATTGTGTCACCATTTCTCAGTAGAATTTCTTCAAATTTTGTAGTTATATTGCTTTGAAGTAAAGAAAATTTTCTGCCACAAAAAAAATATAGGTTGTCAGAATTTTAAGGATTTTACATGGAAATTTATGTAAAAAGGAATGAATTTTGAAAAAAAAATGAAAGACACAATTGTTTGCAAAATAATGTCAATAAAAATAATACTGCCATAGATTAGTATTGCATTAATGTATATCAATTTAATAAATGCTGAAATTGTGTAAAATTAATTATCTATAAACGATTAAAAATTGACATTTTTTAATAAAACCATATACACATAGTAATTGCATGTAAGAGTTATCTGTCTTGAAAAACTTCACAGTAGTGAAATAGGTAGCCGGTTTCCTGAAGTACAGAAAAATGGACACCTGTGACTCATTGATAAAAAAAACCAACCTGAATTAATGCCTGGTTTGCTTTGAAATACTTTAATATTGAGAGAACACACTGTTTTGTCAATAATAAACATATAATATTCATCAGTTTAATATTAAACTTTATAATAACCGGAAATTGTGATACTGTCTCCCTTCATTGGATTTTCAACTAGGGATGTACTTCCTATTTCCGTTTATCAATACACTCCAATGACCTTAAGAGGTCATGGCTATGGAAACAAATCAAATCAATTAAGAATATGTCATTCAAGTACTTGACTGATATTCCGTCTTTGCGTATTGCAGAGTCATCTTCTCTTGTGAGCAGGTATTGACTGTTACGTCATTTGTTTGTGTGAGAAAATTACGTCTTTTCTCAAAAATTGATGACATTTCTCTCACAAACAAATGATATAACAATCAATACCTGCTCTCAAGAGAAGATAACTCTGCAATACGCAAAGACTGAATAAAACCATTGTCTCAAAAATTACCACAAGAAGGTCATAGAGATTTCATGTTATAAAACCATTGTCTCAAAAATTACCACATTAAGATCAAAAAGATTTCTTGTATATGTGCGTTTATATTTATTTTTGCAGAAAAATCCAGAGCCATTCTTTTCCCTAGCCAAAGAGTTATGGCCTGGTATATTCAAGGTAATGCTGGAAAAATGTTCAGAAAACAGTTCATGAAATAACAATAACAAGAATAACTTCATATTGATCACTTAAACTGCATGCTAAATTCTTATTTTGAAATATGTTGGTTGATGAATTTATTTCAAATGAAAATATGAAAAAATTGTTATTGTGAATTTTCAGCCAACACCTTGCCACTACTTTATTAAGATGTTACACAGCAAAGGCCTACTGTTACGACACTATACACAGGTAAGTTCAATCTATTGTTACGACACTATACACAGGTAAGTTCAATTTACTGTTACAACACTAAACACAGGTAAGTTCAATCTACTGTTGCAACACTATACACAGGTAATTTCAATCTACTGTTAAAACACTATACACAGGTAAGTTTAATCTACTGTTAAAACACTACACAGGTAAGTTTAATCTACTGTTACAACACTATACACAGGTAAGTTCAATCATCTGTTGCAACACTATACACAGGTAAGTTCAGTCATCTGTTGCAACACTATACACAGGTAAGTTCAATCTACTGTTGCAACACTATACACAGGTAAGTTTATAGGTCATAGCCTGAAGGATGTTTAATGATTTGGTCACAATTGACAGGAATAAGTGAGCAAGAATGGTGACGTTGTTTTTATAACTGTACTCAGATATACTTTTGTTATTTATTTTTTAGATTTTTAGGAAAATAAATTGACTACTTTGAATATATATCCCTCACTGGAGGGGATTACTGGATTGTAATCATTTTCCCTCACTGGGAGGTTTGACTGGATTGTTCAATTATTTCCCTCGCTGTTACTGGATTGTATTCACATGTGTCTGCGAAACAATGGGTGACTACTTTAGATGAGACTAATTTGATGATTTCAGAACATTGACACGCTTGAAAATCAGGCAGGATTGGATCCAGAAAAGTTAGTAGAGGCTCATGGGAGTTTTCTTACAGCTCATTGTCTTGTTTGCAAAAAGGAATACAGCAAGGGGTTCATGGAAGGTATGATACTTAGACTGATTTAGTCTTGAACAGTTGTCTTTGATTTGATGGGGCAAGGACTTGAATTGTCAAAATATGTATAATCAATTATTGGAATCTTTCTTGATCAAATATTTCAAATAATAGTTTTAAAATTATGCCTTTAATTACCATGTTGATTACAGTGTCCTGGAAATTACTTCAATTTCATGAAGATTATTTGTAAATTAGAAGAGTTATGAAAAATCACAGATTTTATATTGCATTCAGATTTAGTCAGCTTAAAAGATAGCCAACACCCAGTGCAATGATTAATCAACATATTTGTTTCTGTTAGTTTGGATTGATATATTTATTTTCGAATTACATTTTTGATTCCGATATTGCTTGTTTACATTTGTTGATAACTTCAATACCAGATGATACTGTATTATAGATAAAGTGTTAGCTGGAGAGATACCTATGTGTGATATCCAAGAATGCACTGGCATCATCAAACCAGGTCAGTACTTTCATTAAGATATATATGTGTCATATACTACATGTATTAGTATTGCATTAGAGGTCAGTAACTGCTACAAGGTTTATGCAAGTACACCATGGTCATCTGAGTACACCAAGGTCATTTCAGTGCACCACAAGGTCATATCAGTACACTACAGGGTCATATCAGTACACTGCAGGATCATATCAGTACACCAAGGTCATTTCAGTACACCACAAGGTTATATCAGTACACCAAGGTCATTTCAGTATACCACAAGGTCATATCAGTACACCAAGGTCATTTCAGTACACTACAGGGTCATATGAGTACACCACAGGGTCATATGAGTACACCAAGGTCATTTCAGTTACACCACAGGATCATATTAGTACAACAAGGTCATGTCAGTGCAGCAGAGTCATTTCAGCACCACAAGGTCATGATAGTGGACTGGGATCATTTTAGTGCAACAGAGGTATATTACTTTGTACTAGTATCTCCTTCCTTGTTAATCAGATCATCTTATTTTGTCATCTCATGACTATGTTTGCTAATGTGATAACATCCGATTAATTAGAATCATAGAGACATAATTAAAATAATCAGGGAAAACAAGTTTTCATTACTGCTGTTTATTATTTTCAGACATTGTGTTTTTTGGTGACACGCTACCTAAAAGATTTGCAGATTGTGTTGAAGAGGTAATTCCATTCATTATGTCTATGTCTAGAACCTAAAAGAGTTCTGAAGTTGTGTGATTATGTTTTGTCATGATCACTGGTTCTTAAACACTGCTTATTAATCATTAAACAGGTTCTGTAAAGTCGCAAAATGGCACTGTTACTGTAAAATGCTAAAAAGAAATCAAGGATGTATGATTTTAATTTTGATTTCTTGCCCATACAGCATTCAAACTTCATAGTAACCATGATAAGGTGATATCTATGATTGTGCTGGAGATTAATGCCACCAGTAGCAACTAATTGTCAATTCTTTTGGCTATACACAAGAGTTTTTGTTTTTGTGTTCTAGTCAATGCAATATGAAACTACTAAAGATTTCTTGCCTGGGTGGGAGGGGGAGATTAAGCCATTGTCAAGGCTTGTCAGGTTGCTCAGGACCAATTCAGGAGTAGCATATTAATTTGTCCAGACAAAATTAGTTTCCCAGTTTCATATGATTTCTTTGAAACCTGGTAGATTTTACCACCATCAGTATGTAGATGTGTATGTATATTAGAAATGATTGATCCTACAAACTTTTGCTATTTTTTAGTTCTCTGAACAACAGCCAGGGCACATCAAGTTCTTTATTACTTTAAGTCGGTTGACTTATCAGTCATAACNCATACATACATGTAGATGGATAGAGGGAGAGCATTTTGGCTTACAGTTATAATGATATATATGTAAATGTATAGGACTTCTTGTGACTTCATGGGAAGTGTGACTTGTTGGTAATTATGTATGTGACATTCTAGGACTTTGGGAGGGAAGTGTGACTTGTTGGTAATTATGTATGTGACATTACGGGACTTTGGGAGGGAAGTGTGACTTGTTGGTAATAATGTATGTGACATTACAGGACTTTGGGAAGTGTGACTTGCTGGTAATTATGTATGTGACATTACAGGACTTTGGGAAGTGTGACTTAATGGTAATTATGTATGTGACATTACAGGACTTTGGGAAGTGTGACTTGTTGGTAATTATGGGTACGTCTCTCGTGGTTCAGCCATTTGCTTCACTAAGTTATAGGTAAGTAAGCATTTATAAGTCTCCCTCCAGCCACTATGATGATAAAACTGGTCATATTTTATTGTTTAATTGTTTATCAGGGCCAGTATTCATAAAAACGTTCTCATGCTCAAGCATGGATTTTGTGCTCAAGCCAAATTTCTTGTTCAAGATATAAATTATTAAAAAATTCTTGCTTTGTCATTGATTTGGAAAACATTTGAAGGGACTTAAAGCGGAATACTGTTCTCAACATTTGCAATTTAGGTTTTGATCGTTTGACATGATCTAAGTGAGTACGATAACATTAGAAAGCTGGTTGGAGCACAGAATCCATGATTGAGTGTGAGAACAGAATCCATGATTGAGTGAGAGAACAGAATCCATGAATAAGTGGGAGAACAGAAGCCATGATTGAGTGCGAGAACAGAAACCATGATTGAGTGTGAGAACAGAATCCATGATTGAGTGTGAGAACAGAATCCATGAATAAGTGTGAGAACAGAGACCATGATTAAGTGTGAGAACAGAATCCATGATTGAGTGTGAGAACAGAATCCATGATTAAGTGTGAGAACAGAATCCATGATTGAGTGTGAGAACAGAATCCATGATTGAGTGTGAGAACAGAATCCATGATTGAGTGTCAGAATGGTTTCATGAATACAGGCCAAGGTGTCCAGCCTTTCTTGTATTTGATCTGTATATTATCAATACATTTGTAACAGGTATTTTAACTACGTATTATATGCTATAATTGTCTTTTCAGTTACTAGGCCTAATGCTTTTAAATTCAAACAGATCTTTAAGCTTCCTTTCTTTATTTGTTTCTAAAATTACAAAACATGAATTATATGTATAGTATTTGCCTCTGGTTGACAGGGTTCCAGCAAACACACCAAGGTTTTATATCAACTTGGAGAAAACAGGAACTGAAGTAAGCCATTGCTACCTTTTTTTCTTCAATGAGTATTCTTATCCTCAAGATTATCAATGAGTAATTATTCAATATATTTAAATAAATTGACAATGTAGATTTAAAAGAGTGAATAAGATCTGAACATTTCGTTATTGTGTTATACACTAAGACAGTAGTTTGATGAATGTAACACAGTATTCCCCTTGTACAGGACAGTTAAAACTATGACATTTTTTTCTAGGGTGGGGATATGTTCTCCTTCATTTTCTTTGGTGGAGGTTTCAAATTTGATGACAAAAACAACTACAGGTAAGTGAAAGAATTTAATTACCTGTTGGGCTACGATTTTGCTTAATACCTGGGATGTAATATTTTGCTCACCTGGTCCAAAGCATCCATTGTCCCTTATCTTGCCATTGTTAATTTTTCCATTAAAACACTACAAGTCCAAAACTGCTGGAGACATTTTGATTAAATTTGGTCTGTAGAAATGTGGTCTGTAGAAATGTGGCGCCAAGTGGACTCAGCATTGTAAAACAGGGTGTTTGGCCTCCCAGTAGATACAACTGTTGTAGTAAGGTATTCAGTACAAATAAAGGAAAATTTAAACCAAATTCGGTGTTGAGCATCCTTAGGGCAAGACTACTCAATATTGCATTGACAGAGGTTGCTTTCCCTCTTCTCCAAGGAGTTGGAGAGACAGTGCCTTAAAATAGAAATTTAGAACATTGTTGCTTCAAAATTCTATTCTTCCTTAAGGGTTGCACAGATTGTAATCATAATTGTTTTTTAATATTCTGTCATACTTTCCTTAAGGGATAGGTCCCAAATAAAGGGATATTTGTATAGCTTCACTCTCAATCATGTTCCCCACTCTATAACCATATACTCACATAGTTGACATGAAGGGATGAATGCACCCACACTAACATGATCAGCATCAGAGTTCCGCCCCAACCCAGGGTCTTATCCCTGGGTCATCAAATGGAACGGAAGAGAACCCCTCCCCATAACTATATACAATTGCTAGGCATGAAGAGACAAACATAATCATGCAACTAGAGGTTGCTTCACAATTGCTTTGGACTTTTGAATAAATTGTTGCATTAAAAAGGTTAAGCTTCCATAAAGGGGTGTGAGGAGGATGGGTCAAAACCCAAATGGGTGTAATTTTGATGTTTTTGTTTTTAAATTCTGACTCTTCTTGACCAGTTGATCATATTTATGCCAAAGCATTCTCAGGACCAGGGAAACAAAGGTGAAAAGAAGGATATGATCCTTGTTGGTGCTGAGAGCAGCCAAAATGGGGAAAAACATGTACACTGTAAATGCAATACATTGAATGTATTACATTAAATTAGAGTAATTTTGCCATGATAGCTTAAATAACTTTGTGAGTGATAGTATAGCAGACCCCTATTTTTTAATATTACAAGTAAAGCGATCCATGCCCCTGTGAGTGATACATGACCTTTGGACCTCTTGTTTCTTAGATGGTACTTAACTCATTCACCCCTGAAGTTCCATGATGAACAGTTTTCCAACTTGGAATAGAATTGGAAGAGTTCAAATGTGTCTTCATGGGGTGAATGAGTTAAATCATTCAAAGGATTACTTTAAAGCACAGGTATAGGGGACCCCTATTTTTTGATATTACAAGTAAAGCGATCCATGCCCCTGTGCTTTAAAGCAGGATAGTATCATAGGGATGGGGTGTTTTTCGATTTCACGGGTCAATAACGTAGTCACTAAAATATGATCCGCAGAATGATATAACAAGCGCAAAAATGAGCCACAATAATAAACATCATAACCATAATGTTGGTTGTTAAGATTTATGAACATCAAGAGTTGAACAAGATGTTTGAAAATAGATTGTATCACACATCTAATAATTTTGTTGGGGATTTTGTTTGGAAATTTAAGTCATTTGACTATTTGACACTTTATAAGCTGAATGTTCTGTTTCTTTGCTACAATACTGAGACATTTTTTTTCAAGATTTTTTTCTTTTCTTTCACATGTTAAGATTGCAAAATTATTATCTGTGTAAATTGAATTTTCTTATTTTGGGTCAAAATTGCGAAAATTTAAGCTCGCGAAAATAACCCTATTATACGGTACTCAATAAATTGTTTGTGTTGTAGAGATGTGTAATTAATTGTTCGTGATGTAGATCTATGTGTAATTAATTGCTTTTGTTGTAGAGATGTGTTTTGGCAAGGAACATGTAATGATGGTTGTTTCACACTTGCCGAAAAACTGGGCTGGAAGGTAAAAATATACAGTAACTCTCTATTTTCCTCCTTCCCCCAAGTTTCAGGGACATATAGTTCTTGCATGGTCGGTCTTTGTCATGTCACCGTGTGTCCGAAACAGGTGATTTCCAGACAATAGATAATAACTTAAACACAATTTATCATTGCAATAAATTTATTTGAATGATTACCCAAGGAAAGAGAAAGATGCGTACTGATTTGGGGGTTGAAGGTTAATGACACATTGGCTATAAATAGACAACTTTTGGGATAATGTTTGTACATCAGCTTTAAACCAAACTTAGATGGATATTGTTCCTTTAGAAGAGGAACATCTCTACTGATTTTGGGGTAAAATAGGTGACATATTTGTAGTTACTAGCTGGCTATAAATAGACTTACTTCTGCAGTATGTTCTTTCCTGGAATCTGAACAAATGTTTATTGTCAAGCACTTTAATTTGGCATATACCCCCAAACCATGAGTTTAGTCGGGGAGCATATGTCAGTTTTGCTGATTTCCCCGTCATAGTTGTAGATACCTGGTAATAAAGGTAAACTGTAACTTGTCTTGTGCAGTTTAAACACATGAAATCAAACTTGTGAATTTATTTCTTAAATATCATCTGAATAACAATTTTTTTTTTTCTTGGATTAAAATTAAAGTATGAATCAAATTTCATAAATTGATATTTTTGTTATCAGGACGAACTCACCATGATTGTCCAGAAAGAGCATGCAAAGATTGATAAGGAGATGTCACTGCTGAAATCAAAAACCAAAAATGTCAGAGTTCGGAAAGGAAAGGGCACAGAAAAGAGATCTGGGAACCTTGGAAAAACAGCAGTACACACTAATTCTAGGCCTACTATACCAAAATCGTCTGAAAAACAGGGAAACATACCAATTCTTGACACATAATACCAGAGTCTAATTTGTAAAACAGGAACACACTCCAATTCTTGACATGTTATACCAAAGTGCAATTTATAAAACAGGAACACACATCAATTCTTGACACATAATACCTAAGCCTTATTTATAAAACAGGAACACACACCATTTCTTGACACATAATACCTAAGTCTAATTTATAAAACAGGAACACACATCAATTCTTGACACATAATAACTAAGTCTAATTTATAAAACAGGAACACACACCATTTCTTGACACATAATACCTAAGTCTTATTTATAAAACAGGAACACACACCATTTCTTGACACATAATACCTAAGCCTTATTTATAAAACAGGAACACATGCCAATTCTAGACACCTGGATTCAAAACTTCTCTTAAAAAAATGGGACACAAACAAATTCTACCATTTGTTTTCTTCACAAACACAGGTATCATCATACCAATTCAGGATTCACCATATCATGGTTTTATGTAAAAAAAGACCACAGTCACACCAAATCTAGACACATAATACCATTGTTTTCTTCAGGGACATGCACCTATCAAAAAAACAGATGACACCAAATTTTCTGTAAAACAAACAGTGGTAGGCATCACTTCTAGACACATGATACCAAAGTCTAATTTAAAACCATTGAGACACCGATTCTAGACGTGATATTAAAGTCTACTGTGAAAAACAGGCACATGATTTAACTCTAGGCACAATAACAATTATTGTCTTCTGTGAAAAAAAAAGGGGGCACACAGTAATTCCAGGCTTTAGTTTGGTTTGGTTTGTTTGCGTTTTACGTCCTATTAACAGCTACGGTCATTTAAGGACGTGCCAGGTTTTGGTGGTGGAGGAAAGCTGGAGTTCCCGGAGAAAAACCACCGACCGACGGCCAATACCTGGCGACTGCCCCACATAGGTCTCGAACCCGTGACCCAGCGGTGGAGGGCTAGTGGTAGCGGAATGTTAGACGCCTTAACCACTTGGCCACCGCGGCCCCTGGTAATTCCAGGCATATGATAACAAAGCCAATGTGTGTGTATCTAGATATCTTGTATTTTACTTTTATTGTATTGTAAACTGTGATACCATTCTTTTTTGTTTTAACGCAATGTTTGATAAGTTCATATACTGTATGTTGACAAATAAAAGCTTAGCATTGATGTTGTTACAACTGCCTGCAATGATTTATTTACAATTATGATTCCACCTAACATCGTACGCATGTTCCTGCCATTGTCCTTACCGTCATCTGAATTATTTACTTGGGGTCCACACAAAATCTGAGATAGCCACTTTGGTCTAAAGTTTGCATTAGATCAAACAGATGAACAATACATGTCCTATGGGTCTGTTGTTGTAGTATACTGCGCCGGTTTAAAAGAGCTTGTGAAAAGCAAGCAGCTACAAGTTTATTTTTTTCAATGGATACAAAATGTACCTCTTGACCATTCCAAAGAACGATGAGAAATATAGCTGCTTGCTTTTGGTTGGTTGGTTAACGGGTTTCGAGCCTACATGAATCCGCCCTTATGGGTTTCGTCGTGTAGGCTCGAAACCCGTTAACCAACCAACCAAAAGCAAGCAGCTATATTTCTCATCGTTCTTAGGAATGGTCAAGAGGTACATTTTGTATCCAATGAAAAAAATAAACTTGTTAAACTGAAAGAATGGTCAGGAACCAACTGGAGAAAGTACATGTTATAAGCACAGGGACCTGATAATTCGTTACAGCTATATTTAGACCTAAACTAAGGTGTTCAGAGTAATTTTACATGTTTTAGGGGTTTAGATCGACTTTCGGTAAAAATGACTCCCCCAATGATTATATACACGAGCTGTAACAATTTCTCAGGTCCCTGAGTTTATATTCGCGGACCGTTGACGTTTGTCTTGTTGGAATCGCTATCAATAAGAGTATCAATAACAGAAAAGCAAATAAGACCCAATGGAGGACCAAGCCAGATCAGTTCCCACACATTTGGTGAAGCAAAGAAGTGAAGTTAATCAGAACGACTACAACTGTTTCGTACAGAAACTGCCTTCTGTAACGCCGAGGGCCTCCGACCTTGAAGGACCAGTATTGTTTCACAAGATGTCTATACGCCGGTCGCGATATATCTCCCTATAGGTTCAAGCCAGATCTCTTATACAGGTCATTATTTGATAGCGATAGTATCCGCAAACTGTAGTTAATAGCAAGGTCGCATTCGCGTATCCCGGTTAAGGTGGCGCAGAAATTTTCCATGTTAAACCAACGAATAACAAAGGAGGCCTATGGTCATTTGGATTGTAGTGTAGGATCTGGACGAACCCCCTCGTCCATTTTTTGCAAAGTAACAACCATCAGTAAAATAATTCAAAATCTTCCAACAAAGATTCTTAATTAATCATAATGTGTAGAGTAATGATATTAAACCTTTGAAATAAATCTGGCCTGATCTTTTTGAAAATGAATTACAAGTGAGCGATACGGGCCTAACAGGCCTCTTCTTTTGACATCCAGAAAGTCTTTGATAGGCATACCGGCTTCTAGCTAAATTAATCTGCAAAATTTTCACACTGAATAAACAGTTTCTTATGGTATCGGCATCATGTCGTTGTTATGAAAAAATGAACTCTTGCCTTTCAAAATCACAAATCACTTTTTTTTTAAGTTCTGTAATGGTGGAAAAGTAGTTAGCTGAGTAGGACCAAAAAGCACTGTATCTGCCGAAAACCGATAAAAAATATTACGTTATCCCACGGGCTAAATAGGTAGCATGACCTCATATAATTCCTTGGCTATCCCTAAATTTACAATTCATTTTTTTTGTCTTACTAGTTGATCCTATTATGCTATACTCATCACAAATATGGAGCTACACGGATGCAAGTGTATTTGAAAAAAATACACCTACAATTCCGTAAACGAATTCTTGGTCTATATAGAAACACTTCTAATTTTCTGGTATATGAAAAAACGGACATACCCTATTTGTATTTGGTGTCAAATTAAGAATGATTCGATTTCGGTATTGAAAATAAATTGTCTAGTCGTATGAACAAATTGATGTACTCATTACATGAAATGGACAAATTGAGTTTTAAATGATTGAATTATGTTAAACATACCATGGAAAGTGTATGTCCAAATTATGTTTGGATGCATTAACAAGACTGTTTGCCTGATATTACCTACCTTTAGTTGTATAAACTACTATTATATGACCAGTTTATTCAGTAATGGTTTAATTAAATTGACATCTCATCCAAAGGACGATATATCAAATATCGTTTTGGTTTGGAAGAATATATTTGCATGATTAAATGAAACAGATAGGAAAATTAATTGCAAAGTTAGAACTTCAAATATAAACTTTCAGTAGAAACAGGAAAATGGATAAAAAGTCAACGACATGTATTATGTAATGACACGGGTCCGTGGTAATGATCACATGATGTTAACTTGTCATGTATTGAAACTATATTGTATATATATATTATACTCGACATATGGTTACCGTCACTCAGAGACGTATATATTACGTCTCTGCGTCCCTGTACCCAAATCGGGACACTTGTGGGAAAACGGTCCGAGAAACTGTCATTCAATGCAAAGAAGTACTTTTTATGTAAACAGTTTTCATTTGATAATACTTTTCATGACAATTAAACTGTATTAAGCTTTATTGGCTGCCGATTATCGTTACATGGACCATTTAAAGGTACGAATAAATACCAAAACAAGACGTTCCTGATCTACGCGCCGTGCGACGCTATTTATTTGAACAAAACTAATGCTAGTTTGGAGAAGAAATTTAATCAGAACCAAAATACCGGAAGTGTCCCTTTCAGGGTACAGTAACGCCGGTATTTCGCGGTTTTTTTCTATTATGAAAAATTAACAAACATTTTTGGAACTGATAGTAATTGGTACATTGATATTTATCTAAAAGGTGTCCCGATTTGGGTACAGTGACGGTACGTACAATTTATGTGTGTCTAAGTGCAAATAAAATATTTGGGAAATCTTGGGTCTCTGCGTTCATGAGTCTAATGTTCACTTGACAAGACTTAGACATGGCTGCAGCTACCAAAACGCTGACCTTCTAAATGTAATCCTGTAGAACGCCTTAGGCTAGCGCAACTCGAATTCCGAAGATGACACCTACTACCGCGGACGGTAAGTTGCCACAAAATATGTAGGCATCTATTGCTTCATTAATTTTGTTTGGTTTGGTTTGTTCGGGTTTTACATCCTATTAACAGCCATGGTAATTTTTGGTGGGGGGGGAAAGCCGGATTACCCGGAGAAAACCAGCGACTTGCGGATATGATCCTTCAGCATGGTTGATTTGAGAAAACTGTTACTACCTGGAGCCAGCTTAATTTAATCACAGACTTTCTAATATAATTCCGTGATTAAATGGTTAACTACTATTACCTCACATTACATAATATCATCAATAACACACCATTATTCAGCAGTAAGTGGTATTCTAACGAGTATCAATGTAAGCCCTTCTGCCTACGTGATTATTCTATCAGAACAGGCCCGAACACGTATCTTGTCCTCAGTGGTCCAGTCAACTACGAAGCATTGCGCTTTTTATTCTTGCGTTGAATACATACTATGAGCCACTAAAGAAGCGCTAAGCGTGTACGCGACGCTGATCTGAAAAGCTGTCAAGTAGTTATGCTGCCCTGTGTTGTTATCGAGTGTTTTGCAAGTAGGGTGTATTGTTATTTTCGGTGACCTATTAATACTCTGATGATGTCATTGATCTAAACTTGGAGATCAAAGTAATTCTCTATTTTGCCACGGACCAGAACCGATTGTCATCTTGTGTCACCGGTGGACCTGAAGCTGAATTACCTGTCATAAATTTGTGTTACTTGACAGATAGACCAGGTCGGTACAGTGTACGGTGTAATAACGGAATGGCGTCTAATTCGAAAGATGGTAAATATATTAAAACCAGGAAGAAGGACATACAAAACTTATATATGATTTATGTTCACGCCTAGCTTTTTGTGTACAGCACAAGTGATTACAAGATCCTAATTCAGATTTATTTCAGCAGACTATTTACAAAATGTAGCTTACTAAAGATATATGATTTATGTTCACGCCTAGCTTTTTGTGTACAGCAGCAGTGGCAGTGATTACAAGATCTTAATTCAGATTTTTTTCAGCAGACTATTTACAAAATGTAGCTTACTAAAGTCAGTCTATAAGCAAGACACCTAAGACATTGACCAGGTTGGGCACAACGGCGCATATGGGTAATAATTCTGCATTTGGGTAACATCTTTGTATGTTATGGTTGAATGCACTTCGAATCTACTTTCACTATCCTATATAAAAAATCTAAATTTTGTACTTCACTTACGTTATTGAAAATCGCCATATCTATTGGTTATTACAAACAACTTTTGGTTGAACGTTTTTTCGTGTTTTGAATGCGTGTCAGGTGCATGCTGACTTTGACCTGCATTTTATGCTTCAGTGACATTGAAAAAAATAGTCTGGCTCTATTGGGTACCAAATCCACTGCACAATATTTGTTGGAAAACAATTGCCAACTTCATATTATTTTTATTTTTATCTAGGTCGTTCACCTGCCTTATGCCAAGGGTCGTGATATTTCAACTGTAGCATGCTAGGGTGAAGGGCTACCAAGTTTGTTCAAATGAATGAACTGTGTTAAAATCTTAACAGTTTTTTCTAAATAAATAAATACCTAGAGTCATGATATTTTGTCAAAAACATGCTGGGACGGAGGGCTATAAGGGCTGTATCCTTGTTGAGTATCCAGGTGCATATCTGGAGATTACCTTGATATTTATCTGGATAGAATCCGGGTGTATCTTTGTTGAGTACCTTGATGTATCTCTGGAGATTTCCTTGGTATATATCTGGAGATAATCCAGGTGTATCTCTAAAGGGTACCTAAGTGTATCTCTGGGGTGTAACCACCATGAAATCTAACTAGGTGTATCTCTAGAAGTAACTAAGGCATATATCAGGAGTGTATCCAGGTGTATCTCTGGAGAGTACCCAGGTGAGTCTCCAGAGGGTATCCAGGTGTATTCATTAAGAGTACCTAGGTAAGTCTCCCGAGGGTATCAAGGTGTATCTCTGGAGAGTGCCTAGATAAGTCTCCAGAGGGTATCCAGGTGTATCTCTGGAGAGTACCTAGGTAAGTCTCCAGAGGGTACCCAGGTGTATCTCTGGAGAGTACCTAGGTGAGTGTCCAGAGGGTACCCAGGTGTATCTCTGGAGAGTACCTAACTGAGTCTCCAGAGGGAACACAGGTTTATCTTGGGAGAGTACATTGGTATATCTTTGGAGATTACATAGATGTGTCTCTAGAAGTAACTAAGGCATATTTGAGGAGAATATCCAGGTGTATCTCTGGAGAGTAGCTAGGTGAGTCTCCAGAGGGAACCCAGGTGTATCTCTGGAAAGTACCTAGGTGAGTACCCAAGTGTTCTTTTTCTTGGGGGGTATCCAGATGCATCTCTAGAGGGTACTCAAATATATCTTTAGAGAGTACCCAGATATACCTCTAGAGAGTACCCAGGTGTATCTCTGGAGAGTACCCAGTTGAGTCTCCAGAGGGTATCCAGGTGTATCTCTTGAGAATACCTAGATAAGTCTACAGAGGGTATCCAGGTAAGTCTCCAGAGGGTACCCATATGTATCTCTTGAGAGTACCTAGGTAAGTCTCCAGAGGGAACCCAGGTGTATCTGTGGAGAGTGCCTAGATAAGTCTCCAGAGTGTATCCAGGTGTATCTCTGGAGAATACCTAGATAAGTCTACAGAGGGTATCCAGGTAAGTCTCCAGAGGGTACCCATATGTATCTCTGGAGAGTACCTAGGTAAGTCTCCAGAGAGTATCAAGGTGTATCTCTTGAGAGTGCCTAGATAAATATCCAGAGGGTATCCAGGTGTATCTCTGGAGAGTACCTAGGTAGGTCTCCAGAGGGTACCCAGGTGTATCTCTGGAGAGTACCTAGGTAAGTCTCCAGAGTGTATCCAGGTGTATATCTGGAAAGTACCTAGGTGAGTCTCCTGAGGGTATTCAGGTAAGTCTTCAGAGGGTATCCAGGTAAGTCTCCAGAGGGTACCCGAGTGTATCTCTGAAGAGTACCCATGTGAGTCTCCAGAGGGTATCCAGGTGTATCTCCTGAGAGTACCTAGGTAAGTCTCCAGAGGGTATCAAGGTGTATCTCTGGAGAGTGCCTAGATAAGTCTCCAGAGGGTATCCATGTGTATCTCTGGAGAGTACCTAGGTAAGTCTCCAGAGGGTCCCCGGGTAAATCTTTTGAGAGAACCTAGGTCTAGGTAAGTTTCCAGAGGGTATCCAGGTGTATCTCTGGAAAGTACCTAGGTGAGTCACCAGAGGGTATCCAGGTAAGTGTCCAGAGGGTACCCAGGTGTATCTCTTGAGAATACCTAGATAAGTCTCCAGAGGGTATCCAGATGTATCTCTGGAGAACACCTAGATAAGTCTACAGAGGGTATCCAGGTAAGTCTCCAGAGGGTACCCATATGTATCTCTGGAGAGTACCCAGGTAAGTCTCCAGAGGGTACCCAGGTGTATCTCTGGAGAGTACCTAGGTAAGTCTCCAGAGGGTACCCATTTTTATCTCTGGAGAGTACCTAACTGAGTCTCCAGAGGGAACACAGGTTTATCTCTGGAGAGTACCTAGGTAAGTCTCCAGAGGGTACCCAGGTGTATTTCTGCAGAGTACCTAGGTAAGTCTCCAGAGGGTATCCAGGTGTATCTCTGGAGAGTACCTAGGTGAGTCTCCCGAGGGAACCCAGGTGTATCTCTGGAAAGTACCTAGGTGAATTTCTAGAGGATACCAAAGTGTTCTTTTTTTGGGGGGGTATCCAGCTGCATTTTAGAGGGTACTCAAATATATCTTTAGAGAGTACCCAGATATACCTCTAGAGAGTACCCAGATATACCTCTAGAGAGTACCCAGATATACCTCTAGAGAGTACCCAGATATACCTCTAGAGAGTACCCAGATATACCTCTAGAGAGTACCCAGATATACCTCTAGAGAGTACCCAGATATACCTCTAGAGAGTACCCAGATATACCTCTAGAGAGTACCCAGATATACCTCTAGAGAGTACCCAGATATACCTCTAGAGAGTACCCAGATATACCTCTAGAGAGTACCCAGATATACCTCTAGAGAGTACCCAGATATACCTCTAGAGAGTACCCAGATATACCTCTAGAGAGTACCCAGATATACCTCTAGAGAGTACCCAGATATACCTCTAGAGAGTACCCAGATATACCTCTAGAGAGTACCCAGATATACCTCTAGAGAGTACCCAGGTATATCTCTAGTGAGTAACCAGGTATATTTCTAGAGAGTATCAAGGTATACCTCTATAGTTGATATCTGGAATGGATCCAGTTAAACAGCATGCATGTACATTTAGAGTTATTGGCCAATTTTTTTTATTTTTTTTTGAATGCTGCATGCCAAAGTTTGATTATATTACAGATGTGGATAAAGAAACAAAACGGATCTCATTTGGTGCGGTGAACACAATAGAGTTTGAAAGCCTTGGTATGTGAAGAGTTCTGCTTGCATGGTGTGACCATCATTGTTAAACTTCAGTTCATCCTGGTTTCTTCTAATCTTTTGTTAATTTTAAACGTTTAACATCCTTGATATCCAGCGGTTACGCTCACCTACGCTCTCTACACAGCGTAACCCCCTGGATATCGAGGATGAAAGTTTGATTGCCTTTATCTAAACCATCATCTAACACCATTGGCTATCTCACAATACATGTTTGTCATAGTGCTAATGCCAGTAATACACTGTAGGTGGTTTGGATTATTTTCACTTTTATAACTGACATCCTTTTTTGCTAAATTTGTACTCATACACTCTAAACCAGCTTAAAGCTGATAGTACAAGTTGAAAAGCCTTCAATTGAAAAAAATCTTGAACTTTCAGAATGCTAAGTTTGAGATGTTCCCCAGTAACTGCATCTTCCAGTCATATCTTAGGAAGGACTGAATTGTAGTAAATACCATATATCCTGTATTAAGGTTGCCAGCTCTGCAGATTTTACTATTTTTCTAGAAGTTGTTTTTGTTAGATGGTTAACTTCTGCTGCCAAAATAGCACTGTCACAAGTGTAAGCATTTAACAAAAAGAAAACTATCATGGAACATTATCTGTTGATACTGTGACTTATGCAATCTAGCAGAATGAAATGGGAAATGATTAAATTCTGGAGTGGAACAAAGAGACCTTCATGTCTCTGTTGCAGCGGAAATATGGTAAAAAAAAATGCAAGTAATGTTATTGAGACAAAACTGCAAAATGAAGTCATCCCACTCATCTTTTACCAGTGCCTGGCATCCGTATTATGTCAAATATGGCATTATGCGCTTGTAAAGGCACTCCAGTTATAAACTTACCATAGTTATCTGGCAATAAGCCCATGTCTGGTAATAAATCTAACCATATATATTTGCAATCGGGTAGAAATACATGTACCAACAAATGGTACTAGTCTATATTGTAATATGCCCACCACCTACATTAAGTCAGGAATTTTGTGTTGGCTCTGTGGGGTTATTGCAGAATAAATATGGTACTTTTTGTACATCAATTATGGTACCCAAGTTATGATCCAAAGTTGTAGGTTTTGTATCTCAATGTATGTAAAATAGGACTCAAAGCTCTAGGTCCTGTGTTTCAATGTACATAAAATAGGACTCAAAGCTCAAGGTCCTGTGTTTCAATGTAAATAAAATAGGACTCAAAGTTCTAGGTCCTGTGTTTTCAATGTACATAAAATAGGACTCAAAGCTCTAGGTCCTGTGTTTCAATGTACATAAAATAGGACTCAAAGCTCAAGGTCCTGTGTTTCAATGTAAATAAAATAGGACTCAAAGCTCAAGGTCCTGTGTTTCAATGTACATAAAATAGACTAAAAGCCTCAAATCCCCTCTGTATTAACTCCTTCACCCATGAGATTTCCTAATGAACTATTCCAACCTTTGAATTGGAAAAGTTCAAATGTGTCTGTAGGGGTGAATGAGTTGATGTACTTAACGACACCTCTGTAGACAGACTGAAGGCTATAGAGTAAGTTTACTTCAGAAGTCAGTAGGCAATGGCTGCTACAGAGGACTGCACAGGCCTACTTACCTCAAAAGTGATTTAAACAGATTGAAGAAAACTCTAACATATGTTGCCTGACTCATATCCAATAAGCCTATGCTGATTGTTCAGCACATCCCCTGTGCTGAACTGATTTCAATAGTACTGACATGTAAACTTTGAATGCAATTGAGGCCAAATTTCGTCATGGTTCTAGGGACTATATTATAAAGGTGCACTTAACTTCTAACAGTTAGCACACTGATACAGCTCATTGAGTGGCTTTGGTACGCAGGCTACAAACATTTGTATTGCTCCTTCTGTTTGGTAACCCAAAAAGCATTAATACCTCCATCACCAATAGATATACTGTATTTACTGTTTCCTGGCCATGATTCAGACAGATATATTTAATGAGTGGATTGGTCGAGTGGTTAACACCCCGGCCTTCCACGCAGGCAGCAGGGGTTCGATCCCTGAAGTCGTCGTATGCATGGAATATTCAGAGAACATGTTTTTCTCCTGCCCACACAACTTGAACAACCCAGGTGGAGTATAAAATGTTCTGGGGTAGATGTTGCGGCATTTGTGCTGTAGCATTCAAGTGAGGTGGCACTATAAACGATACTGTTCGAAACACCATCCCATTACAAACACAATACATATCCAGCACACATGATACACACATTGGGAGATATTAGCAAGGTGGCATTGGACTAGTAGTTAGCGTCTGATAGGCAGCTCTGCCAATTCCTCAAAATTGTATTGATTAATGTATGCTATATGTATTGGTTGTATAAATTGTATATCTATGTTCTGTAAAGCGCTTAAAGTAGCTTATTCTAGCTAGGTAGGGCGCTATATTGAATGTTGTATATTATCATTATTATTATTAATGTAGACTATATTGCCATTATATTGCCATACTGGAGGAGAATCTGTTTTTGAAAAGTTTAATTTGGTTTGTTTGTGTTTTACGTCCTATTAACAGTTATGGTCATTTAAGGACGTGCCAGGTTTTGGTGGTGGAGGAAAACCAGAGTTACTGGAAAAAACCCACCGACCAATGGCTAGTACCTGGCAACTGTCCCATGTATGTCTCAGGACCCAGTGTCGGAGGGCTAGTGATCACAGACAGTCAGACGCCTTAACCACTCGGCCACTGTGTTCCCCCTGTTTTTCAATAGCAGTAAGCCTCTTTATAGTGCCATCAGCTGGCCTCACAACTTGTTGGCATTGTACAGAGTTTTAACAATTCAGTCGAACAATGTGTTTTGAGTGATACATACTAAAGAAATGTTAGGCAGAAAGAAAAAACACCTTGGGCTCATTTGTTTATACAGACAAACAGATTTGTCTATTTTTCTATGTAATATTTTAGGGGTAAAACCTGCAAATTAATATTAATCAGGCCTTGTAAATCTATAGTAAGGCTTGTCAGAAGACAACATAAAATCACTAGGTCTGCCCCCATTTCATAAATGAACATCTCTAGTCCGATGGGTCCAACTGTTAGGAATGCAATAAATGAGAGCAGCACTTGATGATATAGAGGCAATAAGTGCAGGGCATTATATCAACGTTTCACTATAAAAGATTTTACCACATGACATATCACTACCGAGTGTATTTTCTTGTTGTTAGAACTAACACTAATTTTAATCTTAATATATTTGACTTTGAAATGTCATTTTATTTCAGTAATAATTGCCATAACCTGAGGGTGAATACTGTATTTACAAAAAAACACCCCTAGTTTGTAAGCTGCACTATATGTATAGTAGAAATTAATTTGATATCTCAAATACTGTACAATAAAATGTATAACGGTAATGAAAATGTAGACTTTGCGAGTTAAAGCTAAACAAATTCAGACATACATGTAGCCTGTTATTTGGAAATTTTGTTTTATCTTTAAACTGATTTGTGCTGATAATCTCGTATTCATAATAAAAATTAATAATTATACTGTTGTTTTAAATCCTCCATTCTTTATACCTGATCAGCATGTTATGACAAAATGTTTCAAAATCAATTGTGTAAATTTCTTGTTTACATATTTACGTATTGTATTAAAACATGACCAAATCATGATCTGGTGATGATATTTGAATCAATCAGGGAGTCAGTTTGAGTTTCTAAAAAAAAAAAGGAACTTTTTATACATTGTCTACCTCATGGTATAAACATTTTAACTGAAAATTCCTTTGCTACAAATTCATGATAAAATGAAGGTCATAGCACATACATGTATTAGAAATATTAGAAATGTATTTGATGATTTTCATAGCACTTTATAACAACTGGTCATGATATGCTAACCTAGGTAAATATGTGTAACTGGTTATGATATGCTAACCTAGGTAAATACGTGTAACTGGTTATGATATGCTAACCTAGGTACATACGTGTAACTGGTTATGATATGCTAACCTAGGTACATACATGTAACTGGTTATGATATGCTAACCTAGGTACATACGTGTCACTGGTTATGATATGCTAACCTAGGTACATACGTGTAACTGATTATGTTATATGACACACATTTCTACCTCGTCATTGGTAGCAGAGCACAGTAGCGTACGGTGGCCATGGGTGATATTTTTATACAATGAATAACCCCTGTAATGTAACATATATCAAAATTTAAAAAAAAAATCAGCACTAAAATTGGCATATACATGATGAAGTGGACTATGTGGGCTTCATAATTTTTCCAAAAAAAAATCGACTTTGGTTTGAGACTACAATTTTGGGCATTTACAAATCTGTGTCTACACAACAAAAGCTAGCTTTTCATGTAGTCTATTTTTGTACTCAGCACATGTGTAAATATTGTGAAAAATCCACCGGAATGACCTATGCTAAAACGTGAGTATTTCTGTTACCGAGTAGGCGATATTTAATTTCAGACAGGTTTTAAGAAAAACAATTCTACTTGCGGGGGTCAAATTCTGGGTTAAAAATCATGATTTTTTGCATATTTTGGTGTTTTTTGATATGGTAACCATGGTTTTCAGAAGTCCCAAATCTGGGGAAATTGCTTTTTGAAAAAAAAAATGTTCTTCTAAAAAACACCTATTAAACATGTAGTTTATAAATATATATATATATGTAGGTGTGTTGTGCAGGATGAATCCGCTATCCATGTTTATCCGAGAGATGCCCTTTATTTTTAGGGTCAAGCCATTTCTACTGTACTCTGCCACCTTATACACACAGACATTGATTTTTTCTGAAAAAAAGCCTTTTTATGCTTTATTCAGCTTCACTTTCATTCATTATTGCTTAAAACTACTCAAAACGTTTAAAAAGTTACATATAAAGGTCAATATATAGGTCACTAGCCTATTACCTGTGAATGTATAAAGAGGGGTTAACTCGCCCTTTTCACAGGCACTTCACACTTCATCACATATGTGTCAATTGTGTAATTGGTAAAGTTGATACCAAACAACAAATAATTAACAGGCTATCTCCTGATGCATTCAGACCAGATTTCAGTCTGTTTCACTTAGTTCAGCACCCGGTATCCATGGTAACTAACACATAAAGTTGTATTTATTGAAAATGGGTAAAATATCTGTTTTCATTCTAATTACACTATTTTATATGTTTTTTTCCACTTGATTCAGCTTACAGATTAAATTAACAAAGTCAATAATGTCAATAAATTTTATTTCCATAATTACAGCTGAAGAAAACTTTTTTTTCTAGTGAAATATGTAAAATGACCAATGTCTGGGGTCACTGTCAATTCTAGGCGAGGAAAGTAAACAACGGTTGCTATGGTGTCATTTGTCTGATGTTTCAGAATATCTGACAGTTTTGTGCTGTTCATCGGTTACGGGAAGTGTGTCTGTTTCTAGTTTGTTGTTGTGATGGGTTTCCTGGTATTCATTTTGATATCAGTGAGCCTTGATGATGTCACATATGCCCATTGATGACGTCATAGTTATGATGACATCACAGTAACTATGACGTCATCACACAAGACAGAAACATCCTTGTATCACTGTTCTGTTTTGTTTTTCACATGCACATGATCTTAAAGCATCATATTTTACCCCAAAAAAAAAATTATTCCTGAAAACTACAAAGTTATTCAAGTTTTAATTTTTCAGATTACCTCCCTTTGTTGGTAGTTTGAGAGCAGAATTGGTAAAAAATCACCTAGCAGGAGAATTCATATTACTCGGTCACTTTTAAAGTGAGAAAGGAAACGGATACATCTTTTTGTTCATTGTGTCATTTTCCAGACATTTAAAAGGTTTTGATTGAATTTTTGGGGAAAAAAAGGGATGTATAAGGTAGCAGAGTACAGTAGCGTACGGTGGCCATGGGTGATATTTTTATACAATGAATAACCCCTGTAATATAACATGTATCAAAATTTAAAAAAAAAATCAGCACTAAAATTGGCATATACATGATGAAGTGGACTATGTGGGCTTCATAATTTTTCAAAAAAAAAAATCGAATTTGGTTTGAGACTACAATTTTGGGCATTTACAAATCTGTGTCTACACAACAAAAGCTAGCTTTTCATGTAGTCTATTTTTGTACTCAGCACATGTGTAAATATTGTGAAAAATCCACCGGAATGACCTATGCTAAAACGTGAGTATTTCTGTTACCGAGTAGGCGATATTTAATTTCAGACAGGTTTTAAGAAAAACAATTCTACTTGCGGGGGTCAAATTCTGGGTTAAAAATCATGATTTTTTGCATATTTTGGTGTTTTTTGATGTGGTAACCATGGTTTTCAGAAGTCCCAAATCTGGGGAAATCACTTTTTGAGAAAAAAAATGTTCTTCTAAAAAACACCTATTCAAAATGTAGTTTATAAATATATATATATATGTAGGTGTGTTGTGCAGGATGAATCCGCTATCCATGTTTATCCGAGACATGCCCTTTATTTTTAGGGTCAAGCCATTTCTACTGTACTCTGCCACCATTGGTTGGGTCATAATCATGTGGAGGTCAGCGGTTTGTGATATTGACTCGGAATTACTTCTATTAGAAACAATAATACAATAATGGACCTGAAAAAGGTGATATTGACCTTGACTTTGTCTTGGATACTAATGATCATTTTGTCAGGACCATATAATCACATATTCACCTCAACAAAATCAATACTTGATAGTAGAATATCACTGTATATTTCTTCAGAACCACATAGAGAAGAGGAGACAAAGAAACCAGAAGAGGATGAAAAGGTACATCATTACTAGTACTTTAAAGATTCCATTTAAATACAATTTGTGCTAATTTTAAAATAATATATCAGGATTACATTCATAACCCTTTATAGTAAATCTTTGATTTTGAAGAAAAATCCTCTTTTTATTTGATGTGTGTTAGATATCCTTGTGAATATACACATTTGTATGTATAAGGTTTACTGGTTGGTTCCTTTGTCACCTCCAGCGTGTGTTGATTACACCTCTCTGATACTTGATCATGTATTACGATTTCTATATTGAGCTAGCATCAGGTGTGATACAGGGCTTCATGTTAACACATAAATTCTGACATAATGTAATTGGATTTTCGATTATTTTCAGGAAGTGGAAGAACGTAAGTATGATTATGACCTTAAAGCATTTACATTTTGTTTCTGACTGTAATATTTAAGATTTACATTTTGTGTCTGACTGTAAGATACAAGATTTACATTTTGTTTCTGACTGTAATATTTAAGATTTACATTTTGTGTCTGACTGTAAGATACAAGATTTACATTTTGTTTCTGACTGTAATATTTAAGATTTACATTTTGTGTCTGACTGTAAGATACAAGATTTACATTTTGTTTCTGACTGTAATATTTAAGATTTACATTTTGTGTCTGACTGTAAGATACAAGATTTACATTTTGTTTCTGACTGTACGATTCAAGAATTACATTTTGTGTCTGACTGTAAGATTTAAGATTTACATCGTAACTGCCAATAGAAGTTGTGTGGATAGGAGAAATTATTGGTATGGTTTTCTTTGTTAAGTTATCCTCCAAATTCTGTGTAACAAATAATAGTGTAGTAGTAGAGAACTATATATCATAGATTTACACAGCAAATAACAATATAAGATAATTCACAGATAAGGGGTGCCTATCACTTGTAGCAGTACCTCCCTTGGACCTGAGGAAGAATAGCCGATAGGCTATTGACCACATACTGATGAAGAGTAGAGTGCTGAAAAGCTGTGGCCAACAACTCGTATCAAACATGACTTGGACGACTGTGACTGACCTGAAGCTCGTGGAAAACGATATAAGGGACGCATGAATTGAAAATAGGATTTTTTTATAAACTATTTTTTTTTCTCAATTGATTTCAATTTTCTATAGTTTTAACAATAATTAACATATTCGTTAGCATTTCGTTGATAAAACCGTAAACCTGGTTAAAGTAACAAAGAATAAAATGTATCACATTTCTACGTTGAGTACGTGTAATGTGTAAAATAACACATCATATTGTTTTAAATGTTGCGTAATGTTGACATATCAACATTTACTTTCGCGGCATATTGTTTTATGTTTAAACACGGTATATGTTGACAGAAAGTGATTTTTTGTGAAAACCAGTTAACATGACGTGAAACCTATGAAGTTATATATACTGTCGTTTTGGTTGAACTCCCCCACGTAACCCCACCGCCAACCCAACACACATACAAAGCTACACTTCGTTTTATCAAACGAGAACTTTGTTACCTATAGTGCCAAAGTTCTAGCAGCTATTCTTAAACGTCGTACATGAAATAAATTAATAAATCGCTGATTTCTGTATAATGAAGTTTGGTATTGTAATATAACATTGTGGCATTTTAAAAGAAAGTTCCTTCGAAAGTGAAGTGCTTTTACATGGATAGACTTTCTCGTAACTACATGTATTTTAGAGTGGCTTTCGTCATTTGTTATATATGTATATTTTAATGTATCATTGTACATACAATGTATAACTATGCGAAGGTGAGACTTACACTATTTGTAATGCGAGTGAAGCAGCATACTACTCCCCCCCCCAGCTCCCAAAAAAAAGTAACCCTGCAGGTGACGTATTGTTTTGAAAGCGTCACCGTGGTGTTAACTGGTTGCGTTATTGTTGCATTATAGATGTGTATTACCGTTTTTGGTTTTTATGTATGATGTAAGTGGCCACTAGGCCTAAATTTATTCAAAAGAATCGAATAGTAAGCTGATGTTTTTTTGTGTGTGGTTACGTAAGGCTTGAAGATACATAATTTATAACTATTACGAAACTGCGAAAGCGCATATGTTGTAAACACGTCTATAAAGAAATACACCTAATTTAACTGGTAATTCCTTTCGGGTGATTAATGCATTTTTATAATAGATGGTTGCTGTCATTTTCTTCTAAAAATCACCATTTTTGATACATGCATGCACTATTTAAGAATTAAAATGATGAATATATGATCATGTTCTTATCGTTTATGATATATAGTGATGAATGTAAAAATGATAAAAATGCAAAAACAAAGTAGGGGAACCAAATAACACACTACCGGCAAACACTATCGGGAAACAACAGGACACTACCGACAATAAAAAGTATATTTTGCCGCACCTTCACAAAACATATTTGATTTCAAGTCTTCTGTTAAGATATTTCAAGAAAGAAATGCTTTCAAGAGAACAAGCTATACAGAATAATTTAATAAATCCGGCAACCCTTCCATTTTCGATCGGGTGAGCTATTTACGCCAAACCCTTGTCTTTGTTGTATGCTTAGTAAACAGAGCTTCGCTGCATGTTCTAGTATCAAGGATAACATATGTAATTATTGTGACATCTCTGAGCTGCGGGGTGGACGCTGGAATACAAAAGGAAGGACAAATATATATATAACCTATATCGATAGTCTAGTCACTTAAACGTCTCGCAGGCAGCAAGAGTTGGCAGTCACATCACTTAGGCCTGGAGTTCAACTTACTGTCTTACCCTGGGCCATATAGAGTTGATGTATAATGCCCAGCTAACCCTAGGGTCTTCAGTTGAATTAACTGATTTGGGGTGTATAGTAGCAGACTGGCAACATTCAGAATCCATGTTACATGTTATTGATGGAGCCAGTTTACTGCCATAGGCCCAAATAGTGAAGAGTGAAGCTGTTTCAGTTGACCGAGGGTCAACCATTAGGGAAGAATGTTACAGTGACAGGCAACCAATAAACATAATAAACGTGGTGGTGGGGGAGGATGATGGTATGACTGTATAGCTTGACCATCAGAAAACAACTGGGCGCAGTTGGCTAGAACTGTTAGTACAAAGACCATTAGTCATATGACCATGCTAGGTCCTAGGATTGGATCTCTTTGTACCATTAGTCATATGACCATGCTAGGTCCTAGGATTGGATCTCTTTGTACCATTAGTCATATGACCATGCTAGGTCCTAGGATTGGATCTCTTTGTACCATTAGTCATATGACCATGCTAGGTCCTAGGATTGGATCTCTTTGTACCATTAGTCATATGACCATGCTAGGTCCTAGGATTGGATCTCTTTGTACCATTAGTCATATGACCATGCTAGGTCCTAGGATTGGATCTCTTTGTACCATTAGTCATATGACCATGCTAGGTCCTAGGATTGGATCTCTTTGTACCATTAGTCATATGACCATGCTAGGTCCTAGGATTGGATCTCTTTGTACCATTAGTCATATGACCATGCTAGGTCCTAGGATTGGATCTCTTTGTACCATTAGTCATATGACCATGCTAGGTCCTAGGATTGGATCTCACACTCTTTCCCTTATCAGTAAGGAACCAATACCCGATATGGTATATGAAAATAAGGTAAAGAGACTATCTGTTAACTAGATAGCTGTCAGGACAGGGAGGTTACAGGAGATCAGAATGCCATTTGCTCAAATGTGTGATTGTAATAAGATGAAGTCAGATGAAAAGCAGACCCCTTATACGCTGTACAACCTGCCTAATGTTTCATATTATACTTTAATTTATTTTCAGTGATATGACAACTAAAACTGTTTTAACAGACACTGTACTATTAGTAGAATAAATAAAATAAAATGGCTAAGAATTGTTTTAGTGAAACAAACTATTTTCCTGATTCCCTTTGAAGCTATGTTAGAGATACCAGGTGTTTTTGAAATTCAGGTCGGGTGTGGCTGATGGATTTGATGAAACTGTCACTTGGTCTCGCTCCAACCCCCGAACAATTGCTGGAAACGTTGGACATTGATGGCGTCGTTAACTTCATCAAAAGTGAGAAGTGCAAAAGTATCGTCACCATGGCAGGAGCTGGTATTTCTACATGTAAGTAGGAAGGTAACTGTGTAGTTAATTATGTAATTATTTTACAAGGACTATTTTGATATACATGTATCCTCAATTGTTCAAAAAATTCCTCCAACCCAGTACCAAACCCTTACATTTATATAAATCCCCAATAGCTTACAATGCAGATCATTTTACATGATTTAACCATAATATCTCTTGTTTTACATTTGTATTCTTATGTAAGAGATGAAAATCTTCAACACCAAATATTTTTGTCCAGAATATTTTAAATGCAGATTTAGACATTGGGGCCCTACATTAGTTGCCTCTTACATACATGTAGTCGAATTCAGCAGGTCTGCTCTTTCTCCGAACTAGCAGAAGGCATTTTAAGGAGTTAGGGCCATAGGTTTGTACAGAAAAAAAGGACTGAAATTATAAAGGAGTTAGAAACTTGGATTTGTAAGGAGTTTGAGACATTTAAGATATAACATGTCATTTTATTTGTTTCCTATACCAGAGTTTTTCGCAATTTTAGCGGCAGGCATTCCTGACTTCAGGTCCCCAAATACAGGCCTTTACCACAACCTAGAGAAGTACAATCTTCCTCATCCTAAGGCTGTGTTTGATATTGGGTACTTTTGGGTAAGTAGGTACAGCATATATAATCAGGTAAAACTGACTTCTGCCTTAAGATTGTTGATTATTGTCTTAGGCTCATGAAAACAAGAAAAAGGATGCAAAGTTGCATCAAACAATCGTTCAGGCTTAAGATCAATGGTAAAAGCATATCTACATTGACCACAGAGTGTGTGCAGTGCAATGTCATTACCATATGCATGTTGTATTTCTTTCACCTCGGACAGATATGCAACATGTACCCTATACTACTTTTTTTTTTTATCTCGTATGATCTGTCTGGCACCAATCCGCAACATTTTGCGGAATTTTCACATAGCGATGTATTCATTTAATGTATTCCACTCGCGATGTATTCATTCAATGTATTCCACTTGAAATTGACAATCCACATTATCAATGTAAATAAGCTAATCCCAAGTTGGGATGTTACAGAATCTTAGCCCTCGACTGAGATAACCCGAACTGCTCGGGCTAAGATTCTGTAACATCCCAATGTCGGCTTATGCCTCTGTTTGGATTATGGTACAGAATCTAAGCCCTCGTCTGTGATGAAGATTTATTGATGAAACTTGTTGTATATGTCTCTCATAATGTTCCTCATCTCCACAGCTTTTCTCTACAAAAAACTAATCTTGGTCAAAAGAGTCAACAAAAGATATCAAATCAAGATCCTAGATATATCTTTCAGAAGTACAACATACAGGAGGATGACAGTGTTTGATTATGTAAAATATTATTTCATTTTTCAGAAAAATCCAGAGCCATTTTTCCATCTTGCCAAAGAGCTATGGCCGGGTGTATTCAAGGTATAAAATATTCCAACCAATGTGACACAAAGGGCCTCTATAATTAGACTGTGATAGAAAACCTATATAGACATATATTTGGTTGGTTTTCTGGTCCTGCATATATATATTATTGTCAGAAATATTTCCCTGGAAAGACACCCTTAATATATACCGGATTAACTCCAAACAGCAGTAACATTAGGCCAAAACAAAAATATGAATGTTTCAGGTAACACGACTGAAAAAAATAGGGTAGGTTGGTAGGGATATATATATATTTTTTTTTTTTTGAGGGGTGGGGCTAATTTAAGGAATTATAAAATCACCAAACATATTTTTAGGTCTTTTAAATAAAAATTTGGGATTTAAATTTGGTTTTGATACCTGCCTTTGAAGGAGGGTGGGTATATATATAGTTACCTTGTTTGGTCATCCATTAATTCCTTTGCATCCGGTGGAAAAGTTATCTCAACACTGGATGGAGTGCATTCAAGTAAGATAAACTTGTTAGGGACGGAGGTAAAAAGGTTTGGTCCGGGTACCTGAAACATACATTTTTTAAGGGGCCTTATTACCTATACAAACATATTATGTCTATTATAACCTGCAGCTAAAGGGAGATAATTTGACCCTAGGATGTAGATCATGAGTTTGTTTCAGATTTGAATGAAGGTATTTGGAACGCTCTCCCAACCTATTTGGGTTTTGTAACTATTGGTAAAATTGATGGAGTCCTTCTAATGAGGGATGATTACCAGCACTGATAATAGAACACACCAACCATAAGGTTAACATCTAATGGGGGATGATACCAGCACTGATAATAGAACACATCAACAATAAGGTTAACATCTAATGAGGGATGATACCAGCACTGATAATAGAACACATCAACCATAGGTTAACATCTAATGAGGGATGATACCAGCACTGATAATATAACACATCAACCATAAGGTTAACATCTAATGGGGGATGATTACCAGCACTGATAATAGAACACATCAACAATAAGGTTAACATCTAATGAGGGATGATACCAGCACTGATAATAGAACACATCAACAATAAGGTTAACATCTAATGAGGGATGATACCAGCACTGATAATAGAACACATCAACAATAAGGTTAACATCTAATGAGGGATGATACCAGCACTGATAATATAACACATCAACCATAAGGTTAACATCTAATGAGGGGTGATTACCAGCACTGATAATAGAACACATCAACCATAAGGTTACCATCTAATGAGGGATGATACCAGCACTGATAATAGAACACATCAACCATAGGTTAACATCTAATGAGGGATGATACCAGCACTGATAATATAACACATCAACCATAAGGTTAACATCTAATGGGGGATGATACCAGCACTGATAATAGAACACATCAACCATAGGTTAACATCTAATGAGGGATGATACCAGCACTGATAATATAACACATCAACCATAAGGTTAACATCTAATGAGTGATGATTACCAGCACTGATAATAGAACACATCAACAATAAGGTTAACATCTAATGAGGGATGATACCAGCACTGATAATATAACACATCAACCATAAGGTTAACATCTAATGAGGGATGATTACCAGCACTGATAATAGAACCCATCAACCATAAGGTTAACATCTAATGAGGGATGCTTACCAGCACTGATAATAGAACACATCAACCATAGGTTAACATCTAATGAGGGATGATACCAGCACTGATAATAGAACACATCAACAATAAGGTTAACATCTAATGAGGGATGATACCAGCACTGATAATAGAACACATCAACAATAAGGTTAACATCTAATGAGGGATGATACCAGCACTGATAATAGAACACATCAACCATAAGCTAGGTTAACATCTACCCTCTCATTTGACAGTAATAAATATTATGTCAGTGATTAAATTCTGATAAGATTGCATTGAACAATTGTGAAATTAGCTAGAATGTAATATTTAACTACCCAATAAGTTTCAAGGATCAACTGACCTATTCCAAACAAGTAAATGTTTTATATATTGGTTCTATAACTCAGACTCATTTACATTTCCCATGTTGTATCATTCAGTTTTACATGAAGGTGGTCTACATTGTTAATAATAAAGTGTTGGCTTGTGATTTTGCAGCCGACCCTTTGCCACTACTTCATTAAGATGCTTGATGACAAAGGCCTTCTGCTACGCCACTATACCCAGGTAAGACATGACACCCACGTACTGCTATTACTATACCCAGGTAAGGCATGACACCCAGGTACTGCTATCGCTATACCCAGGTAAGGCATGACACCCAGGTACTGCTATAGCTATACCCAGGTAAGGCATGACTCCGAGGCACTGCTATAGCTATACCCAGGTAAGGCATGACATCCAGGTACTGCTATAGCTATACCCAGGTAAGGCATGCCATCCAGGTACTGCTATAGCTATACCCAGGTATGGCATGCCATCCAGGTACTGCTATAGCTATACCCAGGTAAGGCATGACATCCAGGTACTGCTATAGCTATACCCAGGTAAGGCATGCCATCCAGGTACTGCTATAGCTATACCCAGGTAAGGCATGACACCCAGGTACTGCTATAGCTATACCCAGGTAAGGCATGACACCCAGGTACTGCTATAGCTATACCCAGGTAAGGCATGACATCCAGGTACTGCTATAGCTATACCCAGGTAAGGCATGACACCCAGGTACTGCTATAGCTATACCCAGGTAAGGCATGACACCCAGGTACTGCTATAGCTATACCCAGGTAAGGCATGACATCCAGGTACTGCTATAGCTATACCCAGGTAAGGCATGACACCCAGGTACTGCTATAGCTATACCCAGGTAAGGCATGACACCCAGGTACTGCTATAGCTATACCCAGGTAAGGCATGACATCCAGGTACTGCTATAGCTATACCCAGGTAAGGCATGACACCCAGGTACTGCTATAGCTATACCCAGGTAAGGCATGACACCCAGGTACTGCTATAGCTATACCCAGGTAAGGCATGACATCCAGGTACTGCTATAGCTATACCCAGGTAAGGCATGACACCCAGGTACTGCTATAGCTATACCCAGGTAAGGCATGACACCCAGGTACTGCTATAGCTATACCCAGGTAAGGCATGACATCCAGGTACTGCTATAGCTATACCCAGGTAAGGCATGACACCCAGGTACTGCTATAGCTATACCCAGGTAAGGCATGACACCCAGGTACTGCTATAGCTATACCCAGGTAAGGCATGACATCCAGGTACTGCTATAGCTATACCCAGGTAAGGCATGACACCCAGGTACTGCTATAGCTATACCCAGGTAAGGCATGACACCCAGGTACTGCTATAGCTATACCCAGGTAAGGCATGACATCCAGGTACTGCTATAGCTATACCCAGGTAAGGCATGACACCCAGGTACTGCTATAGCTATACCCAGGTAAGGCATGACACCCAGGTACTGCTATAGCTATACCCAGGTAAGGCATGACATCCAGGTACTGCTATAGCTATACCCAGGTAAGGCATGACACCCAGGTACTGCTATAGCTATACCCAGGTAAGGCATGACACCCAGGTACTGCTATAGCTATACCCAGGTAAGGCATGACATCCAGGTACTGCTATAGCTATACCCAGGTAAGGCATGACACCCAGGTACTGCTATAGCTATACCCAGGTAAGGCATGACACCCAGGTACTGCTATAGCTATACCCAGGTAAGGCATGACATCCAGGTACTGCTATAGCTATACCCAGGTAAGGCATGACACCCAGGTACTGCTATAGCTATACCCAGGTAAGGCATGACACCCAGGTACTGCTATAGCTATACCCAGGTAAGGCATGACATCCAGGTACTGCTATAGCTATACCCAGGTAAGGCATGACACCCAGGTACTGCTATAGCTATACCCAGGTAAGGCATGACACCCAGGTACTGCTATAGCTATACCCAGGTAAGGCATGACATCCAGGTACTGCTATAGCTATACCCAGGTAAGGCATGACACCCAGGTACTGCTATAGCTATACCCAGGTAAGGCATGACACCCAGGTACTGCTATAGCTATACCCAGGTAAGGCATGACATCCAGGTACTGCTATAGCTATACCCAGGTAAGGCATGACACCCAGGTACTGCTATAGCTATACCCAGGTAAGGCATGACACCCAGGTACTGCTATAGCTATACCCAGGTAAGGCATGACATCCAGGTACTGCTATAGCTATACCCAGGTAAGGCATGACACCCAGGTACTGCTATAGCTATACCCAGGTAAGGCATGACACCCAGGTACTGCTATAGCTATACCCAGGTAAGGCATGACACCCAGGTACTGCTATAGCTATACCCAGGTAAGGCATGACACCCAGGTACTGCTATAGCTATACCCAGGTAAGGCATGACATCCAGGTACTGCTATAGCTATACCCAGGTAAGGCATGACATCCAGGTACTGCTATAGCTATACCCAGGTAAGGCATGACACCCAGGTACTGCTATAGCTATACCCAGGTAAGGCATGACACCCAGGTACTGCTATAGCTATACCCAGGTAAGGCATGACACCCAGGTACTGCTATAGCTATACCCAGGTAAGGCATGACACCCAGGTACTGCTATAGCTATACCCAGGTAAGGCATGACACCCAGGTACTGCTATAGCTATACCCAGGTAAGGCATGACACCCAGGTACTGCTATAGCTATACCCAGGTAAGGCATGACACCCAGGTACTGCTATAGCTATACCCAGGTAAGGCATGACACCCAGGTACTGCTATAGCTATACCCAGGTAAGGCATGACACCCAGGTACTGCTATAGCTATACCCAGGTAAGGCATGACACCCAGGTACTGCTATAGCTATACCCAGGTAAGGCATGACACCCAGGTACTGCTATAGCTATACCCAGGTAAGGCATGACATCCAGGTACTGCTATAGCTATACCCAGGTAAGGCATGACACCCAGGTACTGCTATAGCTATACCCAGGTAAGGCATGACACCCAGGTACTGCTATAGCTATACCCAGGTAAGGCATGACACCCAGGTACTGCTATAGCTATACCCAGGTAAGGCATGACACCCAGGTACTGCTATAGCTATACCCAGGTAAGGCATGACACCCAGGTACTGCTATAGCTATACCCAGGTAAGGCATGACATCCAGGTACTGCTATAGCTATACCCAGGTAAGGCATGACACCCAGGTACTGCTATAGCTATACCCAGGTAAGGCATGACACCCAGGTACTGCTATAGCTATACCCAGGTAAGACATGACACCCAGGTACTGCTATAGCTATACCCAGGTAAGGCATGACATCCAGGTACTGCAATAGCTATACCCAGGTAAGGCATGACACCCAGGTACTGCTATAACTATACCCAGGTAAGACATGACACCCTGGTACTGCTATAGCTATACCCAGGTAAGGCATGACATCCAGGTACTGCTATAGCTATACCCAGGTAAGGCATGACACCAGGTACTGCTATAACTATAACCAGGTAAGGCATGACTCCCAGGTACTGCTATAACTTTACCCAGGTAAGGCTTGATACCCAGGTACTGCTATAACTATACCCAGGTAAGGCATGGCACCCAGGTAACGCTATAACTTTACCCAGTTAAGGGCTAGCTTGATACCCAGGTACTGCTATAACTATACCCAGGTAAGGCATGACAACTGTAGTTAAGTAGAGATCTATATCTAGGTAAGGTGACAACTGTAGTTAAGTGGAGATCTATATCTAGGTAAGGGGGCAACTGTAGTTGTGTGGAGATATATATCTAGGTAAGGTGACAATTGTAGTTGTGTGGAGATTTATATCTAGGTAAGGTAACAACTGTAGATAAGTTGAGATCTATATCTAGATAAGGGAACAACTGTAGTTTTGTGGAGATATATATTTAGGTAAAGGGGCAACTGTAGTTAAGTAGAGATCTATATCTAGATAAGCAGACAACTGTAGTAAAGTGGAGATATATATCAAGGTACAGGACAACTGTAGTTAAGTGGAAATCTATATATAGATTAGGGGGCAACTGTAGTTAAGTGGAGATCTATATCTAGGTACAGGACAACTGTAGTTGTGTGGTGATCTATATCTAGGTAAGGGGACAACTGTAGTTAAGTGGAGATCTATATCTAGGTACAGGGACAACTGCAGTTGTGTGGTGATCTATATCTAGGTAAGGGAACAACTGTAGTTAAGTGGAGATCTATATCTAGATAAGGGAACAACTGTAGTTAAGTTGACATCTACATATAAATATAATTATTGATTGCAGGTTATTGGTTTGATGGTGATGGCAGAGTGACACATCTGCTATTCAGTACAGCTTATACAGAAATTGTAACAGCATTCTGGTTTCTGTGTTGAGTTGATTAGGACAAAAGTGAGGACTTATTTTCAGTCATCATTAACAACTATTGGGTAGTTGTATTCATATTGTTTATATTTCTAGAACATTGATACCCTTGAAACTCATGCAGGACTTGATCCAGAAAAATTGGTCGAAGCTCATGGTAGTTTCCGCACTGCTCACTGCCTTATTTGTGAAAAGGAATACAGTAAAGATTTCATAGAAGGTATGATATTCTGACTACTGAAGTATATACTAACAAGAATTGAATTTTCTGTCTGAGTCTATCAGTGGATGCTGCCTGTCAAAGATTGAACCTTTTTTTGTCTGAAACTTGTCTGAAGGGGAAATTCCCTGAGGTTCTGCTGTTTACGTTTCGATGTGAAAATAAACTGTAACTTGTGTAACCCCAATTCCTTCGTTTAACTTTTGGGTCACTGATGTGTTGTGTTTAGGTTCATTTACTGATATTACTTTTTAAATTGACATGGAAGAGCAATGTGTTAAAATTGACTTTCATCCGTTTTAAACATGCAATCAAATTTTATATAAACACATAAACATATTATAGACAATGATAGTTCGTGAGATTCTCCAGTTTTAAATTATAACATCTTTTTTGTATTTATTCATCATGTTTTTTTAGTGTCGATATTGCAACCAATGATATACTGTAGTTATTCATTTCAAGATTTTTTGATTACATTTCCTGTTTATTTTAGATAAAGTGTTCGCTGGAGAAGTACCTAAGTGCCAAGAACCCGGTTGTGAGGATAACGTTGTCAAACCTGGTAAGTATTTGTCAGTCGATTGTCAGATTTTTGTTTTTGTTTAGATAACCAACAGTCCAACGATATTCCAGTGAAATCAATTATCAGTATACAGTACTTTGGCCCCTTTCCCGTATCCAGTTCAACAAGTTGAAACGGTTGAACCTGGAAAGAAAACGACAGGCCCAGATCTGGACCTGGATATGTGAATGTAGCCTTTGTTTATGTGTCAAATGTACATACTGCTTTTGTTGATCCAGAAATAGTCTGAAAATACTCCATGGAACTCAGAAGCTGATTGAACATAACACTATTAACACAACTCTTGGTAGAGTTATCACTGAAGAATTGTCAAAGATATCATTGTCAGGGTTAACATTTTAATTTACTCGGAAAAGTATCTTTGGGTTGGGGATATGATATCATAGGGAAAAACAAACCTGCGTGGAACAACACTCCTGATTGTATATGTTTGCCATTGTATTAATGTTTATATATTTACATTTGCGCTGCAACCCACTATATAAGCATTACAAGCAGAAATGCTTTTCATTTGACTATGAAAGCAAAAACTCTCATGGCATACCACACGGTTTACTTATGACATCATAGATTGACCTTGTTCAATGAGAGTCTTGTCGCTTCGCTTCGGATAACATGGATAATGCCCCTGCGTCAAAGGCTCAAATGACTATGGTTTATTATTGCCACCAATTTTTGTGTCGTCTGCAACCTGAGGCGACATAGGTATTACTTTGTCGGCCTCGGCTGCAGCAGCGTCGGTTGCGTCGTCCGAAACAAGGTTTCTATGCGATAACTTGAGTTCCTTGGGTTGATTGAACTCAAACCTGCTGCACATATTGCATACCAATATATCTCAGACAACTTTGCATTTCAGAAGTTTATGTGCATTTTTGGTGGAGTTATGCCCCTTTTATTGCCAAATAATACATTGTGTGGTAAATGCAAGAACTTTTTAGGTGACCTGAGACAAAGTCTCAAGTGACCTATTGCGATCGCCATTTGTCCGTCGTCGTCTGTCGTCCGTCGTCCGTCCGTAAACAATTTACATTTTCGACTTCTTCTCCAAAACCCCTAAACCAATTTAAAAGAAATTTTGCAGGGACCTTCCATGGACAAAGGTCAACAAAAACAGTGGCCGGTTTAGTCCCAAGCCTCCAGGGGCCTGAGGGGCGGGGCCAAAAAGGGTCAAATTGACAAAAAATTTAAAAATCTTCTTCTCAAGACCCAGATATGGTAGAATCTAATACTCTTCATATATGGAAGGGTCTTAAGGTGCTATACCAAAATTGTGAATTTCTTGACCCTGGGGTCTCACGTTTCCCCCTGGGGAGGGGGTAAACTTTACTAAAGTTTATATAGGGAAATCACATTTTGGACCAACATTTGTTTAATTTCCATTGGAAGTAATTCAATTTGGGTTAGCATTATCAGTATTAGGTAGCAGTTTGATAGTATGCACCTATGAGCCCTGACTGACCCCCAGGGGCTGATGGGTGGGGCCAAAAAGGGTTGAATTGACTGAAATTTCAAAAATCTTCTTCTCAAGACCCAGATATGGTAGAATCAAATACTCTTCATAGATGGAAGGGTCTTAAGGTTTATGACCCTAGGGTCTCACGTTTACCCCCTGGGGAAGGAGGGCAAAATTTATTATGATTTATGATTGCAAATGATACTTTAATAACTTGATTGGAATTATAACCCTGAGTTGACAGTTTGATACTTTGAAAATTTTGAGCCAGTCCTACCCCCAAGGGCTGTAGGGTGGGGCTCAAAGGAGTCAGTGTGCTAAAATGTCTTCATTTTCCTTCTTTAGAATCAGAGGTGCTAGTTTCAAATACTTTTTAGTCTGAAATCTGTATGCTAGATATTGAATAAGGTGGTTTTATTGTTTTTTGTCACTTTGAATAATATTTCAGTTCATGTTAAAAAACAAAATCAACTCTCTGTATAAATATATCAGGTGACCGTTAAGGCCCATGGGCCTCTTGCTTAATTTTTTAATCCATTCCTTTCAAATTTTGTACAGGAATGCTGGAAGCAATTATGTTCAACATATATTATATTCCGCGTTTTGGCCTATCTGTTTACTCGACAACTCAAGCCAAAATACTTTTCTTGCTAAAAGTGCTGGCGACACATCCACTCCCGTGGAATTCATGTATTGAAATAGGGCTGTTCCGCAAATGTCGTGTAAAGGACGACGCATATACAAAACGCAGTGAATAAATTGAGCATTTAAAAATAAATAAAATTCAACAATTGTTCTATAGTAAAAATGTATATATATGGATTGAATGGTGTTTTTTAAATTTTCATGCTGGTATGAACGCAAATCAGTTACATCTATATTAAACATGAAGCCCGCTAGCTATAGGGCTTCATGCGATATAGATGTAACCGATTTGTGTTCATACCAGCATGAAAATTAAAAAAACACCGTTCAATCCCTATGTAATTCTTGTTGTGAAGTAAGAATATACAGTGATTGTGTTCAACATACATGTAGTTAGGATTGACAAATTTTTAGAGTTCCCTATCGTAAGAAGCTAAGAAGGATCATTCAAAACACTTTATATCTTAGCCTATAAGGGGCATATAAAGTTATCACTTTGTCAGTGTGTCTGTGTATACATTCCTGCAGAGTGACATTCTCATTTCTGAAATTTAGTATACATAATATTTTGTTAACTTAATAACCTCCTCATTTCAGATATTGTGTTCTTTGGAGAGTCTCTTCCTAAAAGGTTTGCAGAATTATCATCGCAGGTAATGGAAGCTATATTTGTATTCATATTTGACATTTATATTGCCTTCTTATCAGATTTTAGAATGGTTTTAGAGTTTTTAAATAGGTGATAATAAAAGTCTTGTATTGTTTTGTACACAGTACCATATGCTTAATGTGTATTTATGTCATTCAGGACATGGGGAAGTGTGACTTAATGTGTATTTATGTCATTCAGGACATGGGGAAGTGTGACTTAATGTGTATTTATGTCATTCAGGACATGGGGAAGTGTGACTTGCTGCTGGTCATGGGAACCTCCCTTGTGGTGCAGCCGTTTGCAGCCCTCACCAACAGGTACTCGGCTTACACCTTTACCACATGACATAGTAACACAACTGACACATTTTTCCTTGGTGACATTTTTAAATAGTATTAAACGTTATTGTCAACTTTAAATATAATTAGTGTAGATATATGTTAATGTTAGTGTAATTTTAGAATCATATGCTTCCCAGAAACCCCATATTTAAATAAAGTGTTGTTGCTGAAAGTTGGCCCTTATGTGTGCTACCCCTCAGATGAACCCTCTTGCCTTGTCAAAATCCAATCACATATGTTGAACCCTCTACCCCTCGACACATCCTCCTATAGTATTTGTATACTGACAAATAATGTGGTCTTCAGTCATCATACACACAAATGAAAGTTATCATACGTTTAATTTTTATGTAGATTACCAAGGTACTCTCCACTTTCACATATCTGTTGTACAGCTATTTTGTGTATTGTCCTTCACTTTCATTGTGTTGGTTGTAGTCTTATTATGTTTTATGGTTTTGCTTCATAAACGTTCTACGATATAACATACTAATAAATGATGTTATACTTTATCTTAAGGTATAGATATCTCACTCTAAATTAATATTGACCTCGTATTCAGAGTTAAGCATGAAACTCCAAGGATGTACATGAACCTAGAGAAGACTGGATCGGGGGTAAGGTGTACATATATACTGCTTATCTCTAATTCCTTTCTTATTCAACACTTATACTTCAAAATCAATGCACACATTTGAATTTAAGCAAGAACACTTTCTTTGTTTCTATGAATTGCTGAGCATACATGTTCCATGATATCCATTTACACAAATAAAGCCAAGAATGTCATAATTTATGCTATTTTATCTATAAAAAAAATCTTTACTGAAGCCAATAAAAATATTTATATACATGGGAACAAAAATAAAAGTTGAAGCTTTGTTTTTAGTTCAGTAGACCATTAATTTAGTTCTTTTTCATAAAACACTTCTTAATTAAATATGAAATTAGTTGATTTTCTTCATTCTTCTAGCCAAGCAATCCAATCACAATGCTAATGTTTGGAGGAGGCTTCAAGTTTGATGATGAAGACAATTACAGGTAAGTTTGATGATGAAGACAATTACAGGTAAGTTAGATGATGAAGACAATTACAGGTAAGTTTGATGATGAAGACAATTACAGGTAAGTTTGATGATAAAGACAATTACAGGTAAGTTTGATGATGAAGACAATTACAGGTAAGTTTGATGATGAAGACAATTACAGGTAAGTTAGATGATGAAGACAATTACAGGTAAGTTTGATGATGAAGACAATTACAGGTAAGTTTGATGATGAAGACAATTACAGGTAAGTTTGATGATGAAGACAATTACAGGTAAGTTTGATGATGAAGACAATTACAGGTAAGTTTGATGATGAAGACAATTACAGGTAAGTTTGATGATGAAGACAATTACAGGTAAGTTTGATGATGAAGACAATTACAGGTAAGTTTGATGATGAAGACAATTACAGGTAAGTTTGATGATGAAGACAATTACAGGTAAGTTTGATGATGAAGACAATTACAGGTAAGTTTGATGATGAAGACAATTACAGGTAAGTTTGATGATGAAGACAATTACAGGTAAGTTTGATGATGAAGACAATTACAGGTAAGTTTGATGATAAAGACAATTACAGGTAAGTTTGATGATGAAGACAATTACAGGTAAGTTAGATGATGAAGACAATTACAGGTAAGTTTGATGATAAAGACAATTACAGGTAAGTTTGATGATGAAGACAATTACAGGAAAGTTTGATGATGAAGACAATTACAGGTAAGTTAGATTAATATAATTTATAGTCGGTAGAATACTGTAATATACTAAAACTATGACAGTAAAGAGCCACATTATAGTGATAGATGATGAGGCCCTTTGCCCCTCGTCTGGATACCTAAAAGTACTCAGCACAATTGATGAGTTGAAGTTGAATAACATCAGGAGAATCAATCACAACAGACTTGGAGCAGGTTCTGATGTATCCATCGGTTGTTTCATCGACTGGTGCATCCTCATCATTTAATAGAAAGATGAAGGGACTATTCTCAGTGTCAGACATAGGAGAGAATGTAAGAAGTGGGTCAGTAATCCCCTTCTATCCCTTTTACAGAATCAGTTGTATTCCTAGAGCAGATCTTATCTTATTGTCTCCTCCTTTCCTATCACAAGGAGACAAACACGAACATATCGCAGCCTCCCAAAACATGCACGCATACACTACACGCATGCATCTTGCATACAGGGGAGGCCGTCCTTAAATGACCATAACTGTTGGACATTAAACAATACTACACCAAACCAAACCAAACCAAACTTTCCTATTTAGTTGGTAACAGACTTGCTATTTATATGTGGTAGTCAGATTTTTCTGATTTCTTAAAAACCACTCACTACACAATTAACCCTTTCACCACTGTGGACCACAATGGACTCATCCAGATAAATGTATGGTAGAGTCTACTACAGTAACCTAGGGGTGAAAGGGTTAAGGGTCAGGAGACTTACTAGGCAGCCTTAGTTTTCTACACTGATGTTCCAGGGTGTTCAGGTTTACCTCAACGTCCCGAGGTCAAGTCTGTAACACAGTCTGTGTCTTACCTCCATGTCCCGAGGTCAAGTCTGTAACACAGTCTGTGTCCTACCTCCACGTCCCTAGGTCAAGTCTGTAACATAGTCTGTGTCCTACCTCCACGTCCTGAGGTCAAGTCTGTAACACAGTCTGTGTCCTACCTCCACGTCCCTTGGTCAAGTCTGTAACATAGTCTGTGTCCTACCTCCATGTCCCTAGGTCAAGTCTGTAACACAGTCTGTGTCCTACCTCCGCGTCACGAGGTCAAGTCTGTAACACAGTCTGTGTCCTACATCCACGTTCCGAGGTCAAGTCTGTAACACAGTCTGTATCCTACCTCCACGTTCCGAGGTCAAGTCTGTAACACAGTCTGTATCCTACCTCCACGTTCCGAGGTCAAGTCTGTAACACAGTCTGTATCCTACCTCCACGTTCCGAGGTCAAGTCTGTAACACAGTCTGTGTCTTACCTCCACGTCCCGAGGTCAAGTCTGTACCACAGTCTGTGTCCTACCTCCACGTCCCTTGGTCAAGTCTGTAACATAGTCTGTGTCCTACCTCAACGTCCCAAGGTCAAGTCTGTAACACAGTCTGTGTCCTCCCTCCACGTCCCGAGGTCAAGTCTGTACCACAGTCTGTGTCCTACCTCCACGTCCATAGGTCAAGTCTGTAACATAGTCTGTGTCCTACCTCCATGTCCCTAGGTCAAGTCTGTAACACAGTCTGTGTTCTACCTCCATGTCACGAGGTCAAGTCTGTAACACAGTCTGTATCCTACCTCCACGTTCCGAGGTCAAGTCTGTAACACAGTCTGTATCCTACCTCCACGTTCCGAGGTCAAGTCTGTAACACAGTCTGTATCCTACCTCCACGTTCCGAGGTCAAGTCTGTAACACAGTCTGTGTTCTACCTCCATGTCACGAGGTCAAGTCTGTAACACAGTCTGTATCCTACCTCCACGTTCCGAGGTCAAGTCTGTAACACAGTCTGTGTCCTACCTCCGCGTCCCGAGGTCAAGTCTGTAACACAGTCTGTGTCCCACCTCCGCGTCCCAAGGTCAAGTCTGTAACACAGTCGGTGTCCCACCTCCGCGTCCTGAGGTCCAGTCTGTAACATAGTCTGTGTCCTACCTCCACGTCCCAAGGTCAAGTCTGTAACACAGTCGGTGTCCCACCTCCGCGTCCTGAGGGCCAGTCTGTAACATAGTCTGTGTCCTACCTCCACGTCCCCAGGTCAAGTCTGTAACACAGTCTGTATCCTACCTCCACGTTCCGAGGTCAAGTCTGTAACACAGACTGTGTCCTACCTCCACGTCAAGAGGTCAAGTCTGTAACACAGTCTGTATCCTACCTCCACGTCCCGAGGTCAAGTATGTAACACAGTCTGTGTCCTACCTCCACGTCCCAAGGTCAAGTCTGTAACACAGTCTGTGTTCTACCTCCATGTCACGAGGTCAAGTCTGTAACACAGTCTGTGTCCTACCTCCACGTTCCGAGGTCAAGTCTGTAACACAGTCTGTGTCCTACCTCCCCGTCCCGAGGTCAAGTCTGTAACACAGTCTGTGTTCTACCTCCATGTCACGAGGTCAAGTCTGTAACACAGTCTGTGTCCTACCTCCCCGTCCCGAGGTCAAGTCTGTAACACAGTCTGTGTCCAACTTCTGCGTCCCAAGGTCAAGTCTGTAACACAGTCTGTGTCCTACATCCACGTTCCGAGGTCAAGTCTGTAACACAGTCTGTGTCCTACCTCCCCGTCCCGAGGTCAAGTCTGTAACACAGTCTGTGTCCGACTTCTGCGTCCCAAGGTCAAGTCTGTAACACAGTCTGTGTCCTACCTCCAAGTCCCGAGGTCAAGTCTGTAACACAGTCTGTGTCCAACATCTGCATCCCAAGGTCAAGTCTGTAACACAGTCTATGTCCTACCTCCACGTCCCGAGGTCAAGTCTGTAACACAGTCTGTGTTCTACCTCCGCGTCACGAGGTCAAGTCTGTAACACAGTCTGTGTCCAACCTCTGCGTCCCAAGGTCAATTCTGTAACACAGTCTGTGTCCTACCTCCACGTCCCAAGGTCAAGTCTGTAACACAGTCGGTAACTCTGGGCACATTGAATTATTTTGACACCATGTGACTACATGTATATGGAACCATGTACCATCGCAATATTTTTTTTATCTTGCATTTGATCATACAATTCAATTACCCTGGCTAGCATGCTGGCTTCACCTGCAGAATTTTTTTTCAATATTATATACAAGCTGAACCCGAAGGCCCCTTCATCAACTCAGGGCACTTTGTGGTCATGCTTATGGATTGTTGGGACGGATATACCTTCTTGTCCCATGTCTCGTCACCGACGAGTCAAGTTGGGTACCCCTATTTTGCAGACATTAATTGTTTACCTGACTTAAATGTATGTTATTTTTCTCTGTAGAGATGTGTTTTGGCAAGGAACTTGTGATGATGGTTGTCTCCTTTTGGCAGAGAAGCTGGGCTGGAAGGTAAGTCAGCAAGCAAACAGGTAGTAAGGATTGTGTTGGATAGCTAGGTTAGGATTTGATGAATTAGGTAGCTGAGATAATGTAAACCTAATAGTGATTTTATAGATAAATACCCCTATTCAGCTATAGCAACATATATCTAATAAATATGTCACTATTTTGTTAAACCTAAGGCCATCTATAAAGTCAGTAGCCTAAGATATTTGATAGACCTAAGTTATCTGTATAATCTTTGAAGCGTTATTATGTATACATATGTTAGGCTTGTGTATATATTAAGTCCATTCTTTAGACGGTTTTCTAGGCCCATGTTTACCTGTAGATCCATCCAAGCACAAAAGTACTGGACCCAAGGTAAATCTGCAAAATTCAACACCTTAGATACTTGCTTAGTCTTCATTTACTCTGTAAAACTATATGTTTATTTATTATGGAAGAAATGCAATGTTTTATTATCATATGTTATATAGTATATATTTTTATTTTATAGGAAGAGCTACTACAGATTGTAAAAGAAGAACACGCCAAAATTGATGAGAATGTGAAAATTCTGAAAGCCAAAAGTGAACGTCTTCAGGGTGGGGAACAGATGACAAAGTCAGATGGAAAAACAGTGGACCAATCAAAATCTGCTGTAATGAACGAATCTAACCCTGGAAAGTCCTCACCTGGAACTGAGAAAGACACTCCCTCAAACGCTTACATTCAACAGCTATCAGTAAAACAGAAATCCTCCTCGGGAAAAGCCACTTATGGGCCTTCAGTATCCACAAGTTCTAGTTCAAAATCCACAAGTTCTAGTTCAAAATCCACAAGTTCAAGTAAAGTTTAAGGAGAAAAAAATGATGGGGTTACATTTAAACACAATGTTAACTACTCTACAGATATAAACTGTAAATAAATAGAATATATAGATTTCAGAATCAGTGCAAAAATGTCAACACCGAGTAATCTAAGAGTCACAAAGCAAATGTTCCACACGTCATGATTCCCACTTTACAGTACATTTTATATGGAAAACAACTGTTTTTCTTTCAAACATGCTGTAGCACTTAATTAAGAGATTTATGTTGATTTTATTTCTTGCTTTATTTAGCTGCGTTTCTTTATAGAACTTGCCTTTGTTGTGTTTATATTTATTCAAAAGTACAATTTATTTCAATGAAGAACGTATCAGCTGAGGAGGGGAATTGACTAGGCTAGTTGTATGTGTGATAATGGGTGCATTAGCCTACCAAAGCAAACTTACTGGTAGTGTGAGTGTAATACCTTATTTCTTGGTACTAGCTCTGTACAAATGATTGTTTTCGACGATATTACAACTTGTTAAGGCACTTGTTATGTATATTGTTATACACAGTGCTGTGTTCACTAGATAACATTAGATTATCAAAAAACAATATAAAATATGCACTTGTATATTATAATCAAAATTCGAAATTGATCATGAGCAAGAATGACATTTTATAGTTGATGTATTTGTTTTTTTTATTACATAACAACAGTTGTTGAGGGTTGGCCAGTTTGTTTTTGATACATTACAACAGTTGTTGAGGGTTGGTCAGTTTGTTTTTGAATACATTACAACAGTTGTTGAGGGTCGGTCAGTTTGTTTTTGAATACATTACAACAGTTGTTGAGGGTTGGTCAGCTTGTTTTTGAATACATTACAACAGTTGTTGAGGGTTGGTAAGTTTGTTTTTGAATACATAATGACCATTAATGATGGAATTTTTATACACTGTATTTTAATCCCGCTTTGTATTGGTATTTTGGTCAACCCCTCCTATAAAATTATAATTATTATAAGTGTTTTTTAGTATTATTTGTACACCCGTCTATGACAGAACATATAATGGTATGGCAACCTACAATCACCTAGATTGCTATATTTATATTCATTGCTAAGGCAGAGTGTTATGTATTATATTGTGCTATACCATGCTATATACAGAGTTATGGCCCCTTGTTCATTGTTTAATAACAAAGTAATTTCACCTGTGATCACCAAGCTTTTTGTTATCATTTTTCACACAAAAATTAATGCTGCTATTGCCCATGTTGTCACATCAACCCCCCCACCCTTTTATATTTTTCAGCAGTTTCACTCATCGTGCACCTTGACTCACTGAACTCTACTCTACAAGTGGAGAGCCTGTTCGTTTACGCTTATGTGGAACAACCAGTTCGTCTGTTTTTAAATGTAACATTTTTTGGTATAAATCCTGGCGGATATGCAAAAGTTTATGCAGGCCTTGTAAGGCTTTGTCAAGGCTCACCTGAAAGCAGCATCAGATTACTAGGTCTGACCTTATATCATAAACGAACTGTGGTACAGCCGGTATATGGATTATTAGCTCACCTGGCCCGAAGGGCCAAGTGAGCTTATGGCATGGTGCGGCGTCCGTCATCCGTCCATCGTCCGTCCGGCGTCAACTTTTTACTTTAAACAACTTCTTCTCAGTAACCAAAAGGGCTAGGCTAATGATATTTGGCCAGAAGCATGCTGGGATGAAGGGCTACCAAGTTTGTTCAAATAAATGACCTTCAACCATTTTCAAGGTCACAGGGGTCAAATATGTTAAAATCTTTAAACAACTTCTTCTGAATAACCAAGGGGCCTAGGGTGATGGTCTTTGACCAGTAACATGCTGGGATGAAGGCCTACCAAGTTTGTTCAAATAAATGACCTTGATTTGTATTCAAGGTCACTGGGGTCAAATATGTTTAAAACCTTTAAACGACTTCTTCTGAATAACCGAGAGGCCTAGGGTGATGATATTTGGCCAGTACCATGCTGAAATGAAGGGCTACCAAGTTTGTTCAAATAAATTACCTTGATTTATATTCAAGGTCACAGGGGTCAAATATGTTTAAAACCTTTAAACGACTTCTTCTGAATAACCAAGAGGCCTAATGTGATGATAGTTGGCCAGTACCATGCTGAAATGAAGGGCTACCAAGTTTGTTCAAATAAATGACCTTGATTTATATTCAAGGTCACAGGGGTCAAATATGTTTAAAACCTTTAAACGACTTCTTCTGAAGAACCGAGAGGCCTAGGGTGATGATATTTGGCCAGTAACATGCTGGGATGAAGGGCTACCAAGTTTGTTCAAATAAATGACCTTGATTTATATTCAAGGTCACTGGGGTCAAATATGTTTAAAACCTTTAAACGACTCCCCTAAATAACTGAGAGGCCTAGGGTGATGATATTTGGCCAGTAACATGCTGAGATGAAGGGCTACCAAGTTTGTTCAAATGAATGACCTTTGCTAATTTTTTCTGAATTACTTTAAACTTTAAGTCAAGACGCTGATATTTTGCCTGTAGCTTTATTTTAGTCCTCTTTTAAGGTTACAATTGTGAGATTAATAACAGGTAAGCGATCAGGCCCGTTGGGCCTCTTGTCTAAGGTATGTGACAGGCAGATATTATCATTGTTTCAAGAAAAGAAAACCACAATATGAAATATATTGTCGTTGCTGATTTGAAGTGTATAAGCAGTTACCAGGTATATTTCATGTTGTCCAAGTTATAAATAAGGCTAAATCTTTGTACTAAAAATTACCAAATGCCCCAAAATATGGAGAGGTGAGCGAGACCTGATTTCAGTACGTGACATTCCACATTCCCAGAAAGTATTAACATACAAAATTTGGCTGTTATAGAAGATTGATTATATGAGATATGTCCCAGATTAGATGTTGTAGGGTGAACACAATGCCAGTAATCTGTAAAGTGGGGCAGGAGACCCAACCTCATTACGCTACGCTCTGCCATCCCAACGAGTACTCATACACAAAATTGTAACAATTATAGGTGATTGTGTACTCGATAAAGTGATGCATGGACCGTTAGAGAACAAACCTAGTCTGGTTTGGTTGTACGGGTTGGCACTAAATAAGAAATAATTATTTTCAAACTTTGTTTTAATTCTCTACCAGTCATTTTTGATGTCCATCTGTCCAAATGTTTTTGTTCAAGCCAGTTTAAATGGTTGATTTTGTACTCATGGTATAACAACATTATAGAGTATAGCATTATGTACTGGCTTACTATCATAATTATGAAAAGTGAAGACTCAGAATGCCACTCAAACCACCACAATCTCCTAATGTATGTATCGATTCACTGTTACATCTATTTTCATTACCATTAGACGTAAGACTGTGGCTTTACCAAAGACTGATTTTTATAGAATATTTCTGACAGGTTCTTGGCAGCTTTTTTATTGTTAAATGAGTCCAATAACTAAGGTGTATAGTGGGTTCTAAAAAAAGTAGGCATGGCCCACAAAAAATATCAGTGAGATCAGGGGTACATTCGCGTTACCGTTTGAAACGGTTGAACCGGTTGAACCTGTAAAGAAAATGACAGGTACAGATCTGCACCGAGGCTGATCTCAGGAAAATTTGGCACGTGTAGATTGAGGGGTCCAGACGTGCCTGACCGAAACTAAAATGCTGACTATTGCCAATTTGCGTTATTTCTTTCTAAAACAATGTCAAGTCACATGTAGTTTTTAAGATACGTTATGTAATTCAATGGACGGATGAAAAAAGGTCATAATATTCTTGAAACACTGTTTTTATTCTCCGAAACTGTGGATTTTTAGCTCTGCTTATAGAACGGTCCAAGTGTGTTCGTTTATCGTGGAAAATTTCTGCGCCACACGTACCGTTTCAACCGGGATACGCGAATGTAGCCCTACACTCAAATAATCACTTGTAAGGTCAAGGCCACAATTTGAGGTCAAGGTTCAAACTATCCATGATGGTGTTTTTTGAACATCACTAAATGTATCACCACTTGCAGAAAATTCATGTTAGGGAGGTCATCTATCCAATGTCTTAATGAAACTATTAAGGCAATGGCCATATATTCCTTTACGATGTTTAGCTGTTTCTTATTTCATTTGATTTGATAAGCTTTAAGGAGGATTGGTTGAGTTTTGAAAATCCGTTTCAATTGTCATGAGATTTGTATGTTACATGTTACATGTTATGATGTATAATGGTTATAATTATAAAGATATGGCTGTGATACTCCTGGTACATTAAGGAATGGGTAAGAGTTTACTTCGCTATATAAAACAATCATGTTAAATAAAGATGTCTCTAACAATATTTGTTTTCGGTCATTGTTTTTCTTTCATCAGGTTTGAATTTGTCTCCCGTTTTAAAGAAGGAAGACAAATAGTTTTAGTAATGGTTCTTTCAGACTTAGTTCAGACATTAACTCACATAAACTGTTAAAGATATCCTACAGAAGGTGTGCAGTGTGACATAATTAGGTTGTCATGACAGTTTTTACTTAAGATTGTCATTTTTGCCAAATGATCATAGGTTGAAGCCAGAGTAAGTATAAAACTAATTCCCTGGTAATATTTCAAGCTTCTTTGTTCAATATTCTTTTCTTTATCATATACAGCAATTTCTCATTCAAAGTGCTGGCACAATATTGCTGTTAAATTATTAGGGGAATACGCCAAATATCTTTTTGCTAATACGAGTGCATACCTAATCAAATGCCTGTCTATAGCAGGTAAAAGAACTATAAAATTATTGTTTGAACAATGTATTTTATTCTTACAAAACAAATATAAAGGTATAAAGTATTCATTTCAACAATCATCTGACAAAGTCGCATCAATTCGCCACTTATACTGGAATATAAAGTTTCTTTGAAGCAGCCATCAATATCTTTTCGTCTCCTTATTCATCCTGTGGTCACAATCCAGCCACTCTAAGTTGGAATAAAGGTGGAAGAGGTATTGCTGAACATACATGTTATACCAAGGTATACAGGTGATGCCACCCTACAAATATTGTGTTGTCATTACATTAGTCTTATCATGTGTACATGTATATAACAAGAGGCCCAGAGGGCCTGTATCGCTCACCTGGATATCTAAGCAATCATGGCAAAATATTCTCCAAATAAGATCCAAAGGAATATGCAAGACCCAAAGGCCAATCCTTGTAGCAAATCTGTATTAGATTTTTCATGCCCAGCAATTTTAAGAATGGTTATTGGGTGGGGATCTCAACTGTTTCCAAGCTGTGACTCAGAAACTGGGTCCCTAGGGTTATGGCCAGACCCTAGGATCAATTCTAATATCATGACTGCATTTTTCCCTTTTTCCCAGCATTTGTATATATATAGTTTTGGGGTGGGGATCTCAATTGTTTCAAAGATATGACCCAGTGGTTAAGTCCGCAAGGGTGGGGCAGACCCTGGGGTCAATTCTAATATCATGACTGCATTCGTCTCTTTATGCCCAACAATTGTATATATAGATTTGGGGTGGGGATCTTAACCATTTCAAAGTTATGACCCAGGGGTTAAGTCTCCAAGGGTGGGGCAGTCCCCAAGGCCATCCTTGAAGCATATGTGCATTCATCTCTTTATACTCAGTTGTATATATGGTTATAGGGTGGGGATCTCAACTGTTTCCAAGCTGTGACTAAGGAACTAGGTCCCTAGGGGTTCGATCAGACCCCAGGGTCTATTCTAATATCATGACTGCATTTGTCTCTTTATGCCCAGCATTTGTATATATAGTTTTGGGGTGGGGATCTCAACCGTTTTAAAGTTAACGCCCAGGGACTATGTCTTCAAGGGTGGGGCCAGACCCTAGGGCAATCCTGGAAGCAAATGTGCATTCTTTTCTTTATACTCAGCAATTGTATATATGGTTATATGGTTGGGATCTCAACCATTTCTAAGTAATAAACTTTTTTTGGCCCTGCCCTCAGCCCCACCATTTGTGCAATTTTAATCCCCACTACCTTGGGATGCTTCCAGTCAAATATGGTTGATATCCATCTCTTAGTTCCAGAGAAGTAGTCGCTTAAAGCAATATAGCCAAATTGCCCCCTTTTTGCCCCCTGGGGGGTCAGCCACACCGTTTGAATTCCTACCTCCCATGAATACTTTTGATGAAATATGATTGATATCCATCCAGTAAATAGTTCTATAGACGAATTCGTTTGTAGCAATATAGCCAAAATGCCCCCTTTTGGCCCCGCCCCTCAGCCCCCTGGGGGGTCTGCCCAACCATTTGTACAATTTTGAATCTCCAACATCTTGGTATGCTTCCAGTCAAATATGGTTGATATCCATCTCTTAGTTCCAGAGAAGAAGTTGCTTAAAGCAATATAGCCAAATTGCCCCCTTTTTGCTCAGCCCCACCATTTGTACAATTTTGAATCTCCACCACCTATGGATGCTTCCAGTCAAATTTAGTTAAATTCCAATCAGTGGTTAAGAAAAAGAAGTCGCTTAAAGAAATTGTTGACGGACGGAAGGACGGACGGCACGGTATGGCATAAGCTCACTCACCTTGGTCCTTCGGACCCGGTGAGCTAAAAATGTTTCATTGTTTCTACTGCAACATTCAAATCAACAGAATAAATTAAGACCTTTATCAAATACATCATCTAAATCATGCAGACATCCGCACTCTCAGCCAAACATGCTCAATCTGATAAAAGACTTGCATCACCCGAGTCTAACATGTCCCGTCTGAGTCTGGCAACCACCATCTGAACTTGAGAACTTTCAGTTATACAAATACCTTTCTGACCAGGCAAATGTCCTGTAAGTCGGACAAAAACCATTTCGCTCCCTGGGTACAATCTGAACAAGACAAATACTTGCTCTTACCCTGGACAGGTGTATCCGCACTTTTACCGGGGTGAGATTTCCTTGTCTCACCCTAGGGTTGAGACGGGGGGATTCCCCTATTCGAAACAATGGCATGACGTCACTTCAACAATACAATGACGTCACGTCAACAATCCATCAACATCACGTCAACCCTGAATTTAGCATGTAACGTTATCATTATATTGTGTATATGATACACAATGGGAGAACAGAGTAAGAGAAAAAGAATCATTCACCCCCATGTGGGTGGGATAGGCAAAGCCTCGTGTTTGGCAACTTAAGAATCTTTCCCCTTGGGTTGAGATTCTCCTATCTCACCCCCAAGGGGGTGAAAGATTCTATTAATCTCAGTATCTGAATTCAACAAACAGAGCATGAGTATGTCATGCTGTCAACTGAAACAGGTAGGATATGTCCCCTTTCTGATAATGTCATACTGATTGTGCATGCAGCTCTATCAACCGATAAGGGCCATCTTCTGTTGTATCTTTTTCTGCATCTCCTCTGACTGTAGCTGTTCCAGCGTGAGTAGGGACAGTCCAAGCTGGTCCTCCTGTAACACAAATATACAAATCTCCATTTAATGTATTTGATTAATAACTTGTTAATTAAACAAAGATGGGATGAAGTAGAAAAGTTGCATCAGGACCTTATGTGTGCCAAGGCATTAAGAAGATAGGTGATGTAAAGTAACTTAACCTACAGGTTAAATAACATATCCTGTAATACTGGACCTGAGGTACAACTGTCACATCCTGTGAAAACTAGACTTAAGTTTGTACTTTTTTACATGTTCCAGAATATTTCCAGATAATCAGAATCCTAATTACAGAGGTCCGTCTATAAACTTTTGCATAAAGCATACTCACCCTGCTGAAGGGCTGGGCCATCTGTCGCAGGAATCTCTTAGACACCTGTATAGCCTCGTCTGTTGACAGGTTACATAGATTGTCGGACAGGTTCTCCTGCATCCAGCGAGGTAACTTTCCACGTTTGTCAGCACGGGCAAACCTCTGTAAAGCAAGCAAATGTTGGTCACAACTTCTTCAGAAACCGTCTTTATAATGTGGAAAGTACTCATAGAAACAAGTGTCTGAATCACTAGGTCATTGAGCAGATATGAAGTGAACAGGTTGAATAGGAAATACACATTTTGAAAATATCCCACATTCCAGTACCAGAACATCATGTGAATTGATACATTTCAATGTCAGTAGTACTACAAAATGAAAAAAAAAACCAGATTTATTGAACAGTTTTATTTTCTATCTGTACAAATCATAACACTTCTTACCAACATGTTGGGCTACCAGAAAGCAACATAATTTGTTTCCGTCCTAGAAAACCATCTTGCCTACCTTGTCAGCAAACACCATGACTCCATAGTCCGTCTTCCCTCGGAGCACACGTCCCAGACACTGGGCAGCATGTCGCATGGCATCAAATGTCAGGAAATCATTCTCTCGGATCTGGTACTGGTCACGAAGGTACTCAAGCCGAGCCTGTAAAATGGTCATCATAAGCAATCTTTGTCACAGACCAAGACACTGTTTTGTTAGATTTGGAATAGTTGCATGTTGTATTTTTATCATAGAGCCACGAATTACAAGATTTGTGAAAGTTATCTGAACTTTAAATACCTAAAATTTTAATCACAATCAAGCACTTATTAACAGGCATTTAAATGTTTCCAATAGTTAATTACTGTATTGGAAATAGCTATGATGTGCCGTGATAATCTGCATAAGCCAAAAAATTGAAGAAAATGCATATAATGCTAAAATTAGGTGAGTGACAGTTTGACCTTCAGGATTTTGACCTCAGCCTGAGCAGCTTATATATTTAGATGAGTAAATTATCAATCAAGGGATCACATGAGAAAAAGTCTGACCTCTTTTCAATTGTGTCTGTTTTTCCCCAATAAATAAACAATTATACTGTATATTCATTTTTCTTGACAAAAGACAAAGATTACCAGCATAATTATAATATAGAATAAAGGGAGATAATCCTGTCACCTCATAATGAACACATTAAACGTGTATTAAGATTAGTACCTTGAGAATCCTGCTCTGAGTGTAAACATAGGGCACACCAAACATGATAACAGCACGGCCATAGTGATGATCTACAACACAAAGGACAAGATCAATCAACTGACCATCTGGAGTAGTCCATTATATTTCAATGTATACAGAAGAAATGTCGGCTTGCAGTTAATTGTTTGTATTGGGTGGAACATCCGCACATGCAACAGCCAGGGTCATATGAAGACGGGTGCCCTAGAGAAACACCACCAAAACGTAGGAGTAGGAAAATGAGAAAAGTAAAACTATACCCAGGTAGAAGTGTTGTAATGGGGGCAGTAGATCAGTCTGGTTAAATAAATCACTTTCATGTCTGTCATCTAAACCAACTTGATTTTGACTCATTGCAGAAAAAAAATACACTGTACGTGTAATTATACACTTCCTTCAGATCAAATTACAGTGGAACGGAGAGAAATGTGTTAATACATCACTGAAGATTCTATGAAAAAAAACCCATTTATATTACAAAGAATCATTTACAGTGGTTGTTTCACTGACAGCTTAATAGGTATGCAGGGTTTTACATGAAGCAGAATCCTGATTCAAATACCCCAGTTTCCATAACAGGACCCCTAAAATCTGAACACATGTGTCCCCATGGTCATGGCCCCCTGAAATGACAACTTAAAAAAAAAATCTTGTCTCCAAATTTGAATGACTCTCGAAGACAAAATGGGATGTAAAACCGTGGGTATATTAACAGTCACACAGCAACATTTCCGGTACGTTTGTCTTGTTTGTTTTATGTCCTATTAACAGCTACAGTCATTTATGGACAGGCTTGGTTCCGGTACAATGTACAATGTACAATGTCTCAAGTCATATGTACACTGATAAACAATAGACAATGTTCACTAAAATATGATTACATACATTTATTTAAATCAAAAGTCATAATTGCATTTATATCTAGGAAACAGCTACATTTACAACAAAGAAAAGGAAACCCTTTGTCAAATTTTCAAAGCCTTCAGCACGAAACCAACAAGTTTTCCACTGATGTGCATAAATGTAATAAAGGAAGTAAGTCACATACCGAAATCAATTCCTTCCGACACTTTTCCTCTTGCCACTGACAGCAGCACAGCACCTCGACCGTTCTCACAAGCCTGGTTCAAACACGTTATAAAAGAGACCATATCAACAATCATACACCAATATGATTATGTGTACATGTATTTGAAAAATATTTGGACAGGATAAATCAATGATATCTATTACAACTAATTTGTTTCTCTGCAGCGAATATCTGAATCTCTGCTCCATTTTAGTCTGTGACCTTAAATATCATTCAAGGTCATTTTAATTGTTTGTAAGTAAAGGGTGTCTATGGTGTTCCTATAACTTATATAAAAAGCTATAATCAACAAAAAAATAAAACTCATTAAAAACAAGAGGGACCTTGGTTCTGTTTATCATTTGATCTAAAAATAGGTTGAAATTGTTGGCCTTTTCAGATTTCTAATCGACCAAAAATTTAAATACAAGACCTAGTGAAGTCAATGACAGGAACAGTTGTTTGTGTTAAAGATATCCCGGAATACAGTGCATCCTATTGGAGCAATAGTGTATTGTCACAGCTTTATCTTGATTTACTTTTCATCAGATTTGTTGACTACCTTATCATATAAATATGTGCCCAACGCCCAGTAAAAGTGCCTACCTTTTGATAGTTGAGTAGGGCCAGTGTAGTCTCTGCGCCATCCTGGGTCTCTATAAATAGCAGTTTGTGTTTCTGTACCTGGTCAATGATTCCCTGTATCAACATAGAAAATTGTTACAGTACCCGTAATTATCACTGACGGTATCAACAAAGGAAATAGGCTGCTTTATTGTGTAACTGACTGGGATTACCAACAAAAGGTGCTACTGTAACTATCACTGCAAGAAACATTAGAAAACTTCATTTATCACGTCAAGTCAAGGACTATAATCATGAACCGAGGAAAGGTGCCAATTTATCATGTAAAGTCTATCACAGGAAGTATTGACATAGTAAAGTTGCTATTTTATCATTTTAACTCTATCACAGGAAGTATTGACATAGCAAAGTTGCTATTTTATCATTAACTATGATGTGATTTATTTTTTCAGTAACACAGAATAGTTTAAGAGCAGGTCAATATTACAAGCATATGGTATTGAAGTGGAACAAGGGGCCCAGAGGGCCTGTATCGCTCACCTGAATATGTTTAAAATAATTGGTATGAAGTAAAGATATAGCACTCCATGGTAGGTGCTGCAAGTACATATGAAATTTCAGAAAGATCCATCCAGTAATTGAGATATAGCGAGAACAAACTTCAAACAGAGCCCCACCCCTAGGCCCCTAGGGGGGTCATATCCACCATATATACAAAAGTGAGTCCCCTTGGCCCAAGCATGCTCCAGACTAAATAAGGATAAAATCCCTTAATCCCAATGGTCGGAGAAGGATTTTAAAGGTTTTACCTCTATTTCCCCTATTGGGCCCCACCTCTCTGCCTCCAGGGGGGTTATACACACCGTTTATACAAAATTGGTTCCCCTTCACCCAAGAATTTGCGATGTTTTCCTATTGTGCCCCTCCCTTCTGCCCCTCAGGGGGGCCACACTCCCTGTTTATATGAAATTGAGTCCCTTTTGCCCAAGGATGCTCCAGACTAAATTAGGATAAAATCCCTTCATCCCTATGGTAAAAGACGGTTATATACGTATTACCTCTATTTCCTCTATTGGGCCCCACCCCTCAGGTCCGAGGGGGCACCACACCCACCGAATATACAAAATTGTTTCCCCTTCATCCAAGAATGCTTCAGACCAAACATTGACCAAATCCTTTCATTCCTACAGGAGAAGGATTTTAAAGAACAATTTGCTATGTTTCCCCTATTTGGCCCCGCCCCTCGGGCCCCTGGGGGTTAGACCCACGGTTCATACAAAATTGGTTCTCCTTTACCCAAGGATGCTTCAGCCAAAATATGAAACAAATCCTTTCATTCCTACAGAAGAAGGATTTTAAAAAAATAACTATATTTCCCCTATTGGGACCCGCCCCTCAGTCCCCAGGGGGACAGACCAACCATTTATACAAAATGTGTTCCCCTTCCCCCAAGGATGCTTATGACCAAATATGGAACAAATCCTCCCATTCCTACAGAAGAAGAAGGATTTTAAAGAATAATTTGCTATGTTTCCCCTATTGGGCCCCGCCCCTCAGCCCCTTGGTGGGCAACACCCATCATTTATACAAAATTGATTCCCCTTATCGACCAAATCCTTTCATTCCTACAGAAGAAGAAGGATTTTAAAGAATAATTTGCTATGTTTCCCATATTGGGCCACGCCCCTCAGGCCCCTGGGGGTTAGACCCAAGGTCTATACAAAATTGGTTTCCCTTCACCCAAGGATTCTTCAGACCAAATATGGAACAAATCCTTTCATTCCTACTGAAGAAGAAGGATTTTAAAGAATTTGCTATATTTCCCCTATTTGGCCCCGCCCCTCAGCCCCCAGGGGGGCCACACCAAAAGTTTATACAAAATTGGTTCCGCTTCAACCAAGAATGCTTCAGACTAAATATGGACCAAATCCTTTCATTCCTACAGAATGAGAAAGATTTTAAAGAATTTGCTATGTTTCCCGTATTGGGCCTCGCCCCTCAGGCCCAGACCCACGGTTTATACCAAATTGGTTCCCCTTCACCCAAAGATGCTTCAGACCAAATATGGAACAAAACCTTGCATTCCTACAGAAGAAGACGGATTTTAAAGAATTTGCTTTATTTCCCCTAGTGGGCCCTGCCCCTCAGCCCCCAGGAGGGCCAGACCCATCATTTATACAAAATTGGTTCCCCTTCCGCCAAGGATGCTTCTGACCAAATTTGGTCAAAATCTGCTCAGTCGTTAATGACTTGTAGCATTTTAAAGGAAAAGTTGACAGACGGACGACGGACCAGGTGAGCTAAAAAACACTACTAGAGAAATAACTGTACTGTAAAAAGGCAAAGTATTGCAAGGCAATCCACAGATTCTTTATTAACTGAACTGTACATCTATCTCAGGATATAGTTTACAGTGACATACTTCTTGTACTCTGACAGTGAAAACATACTTGCATATCAAACCTGCCCCAGACAAATTTTCAAAAAGGATAAGGTGAAAGTTTAAGCATAGGTCACGGTGACCTACTTTTTTGTACAATTCAATTCAACTTTATTCTCTTTCACAATACAATGTATAGAGAAACATATTTACAATATAATATATAGTAATTGTAGTGTTCGTAGTCGGTAGTACACAGTACTGTTTTATAATATATACACATTTATATCGAGGAGGTCAAATACTGTTATTAATTATTCTAATAAAAGTACAAAGTTTCTTCAGTGTTTTTATATTAGTAGTATTCATCAATTCATTAAACTTAATTACATTTGGTCTCGTCCAAAAATATTTGTCTATGTATAAAATTCGAAACCCAGATAGTGACGGACACTCAAGCAAGTAATGGAATTCGTCACCAATTTGCTGACTGTTACAGTGTGGACATTTTCTTTCATTATACTCTATATTATGCCATCTGCCGGTTTCAACAATGAATTTGTGATTAGTAGTCTTAAATTTACAAAATGTAACTCTATCCTTATCACTTAAAATATCTAAGTAATTTTCAAAATGACAATTATTTTTAAAAATCCTATAACATGTAGCTTTTGATGAAGTGTGAACATCACTCTGCCATTTCTGTNTTATTCTTGTTTTTATTGTTATTTCAAGTGGACTAGTACCTAGTTCTCCATATACCATATAATTAGGGGTGCTACTTTTTAACCCTAGTAATAATTTACAGAACTTTAAATGTACACGTTCAATTACCTTAAGGTCAGAAAGACCCCAAACTTCACAACCATACAACAGTATGGGTTTTACAATCTTGTTAAATAAATCATATATACAATGAACTGATAAATTATGTAGTCTACCTTTCTTTATAACGTCATACATTGCTATAGTAGCCTTTTTAATATTGTATTTTTTCGTTTCATTGAATGAACCAGTTCGATTAAATGCCGTACCCAAATAGGTAAAATTGTCCACTAACTCGATCGCCTCATTATTAAATAAAAATACATTTCTATTGTTTTTGCGTCCTTTACTAAACACTATACATTTGGTTTTTCCTATATTAACCTTTAATTTCCACTGTTTACAGTATTCACTGAATACATTTAATTGTAGTTGCAAGTCAACTGGACAGTCCGAGAAAAGTAGTGTATCATCAGCATATAGTAAAATAAAAAGCTTTATGTATACATGTAGATTATTTTCTAATTTAGTACTAAGGTTTGTCAAACCCTGAACGTTATTTTGGACCATAAACTCTTCTAGATCGTTCAAGTACAGACTGAATAAAAAGGGAGATAGATTTTCTCCTTGTCTCAAACCATTTTCACATGGAAAATAACCAGAACATTCACCATTAAAAGATATATTTGACTTAATGCCTTGATACATGTTAAAAATAATTGTTAACATTTTCCCATTAATAACAATGACACTCTGCCATGCTGAGATGTACTTGCATACCAAATCTGGTTACTCCAGGTGAAATATTGTAAAAGATCTGCCCCTGACAAACTTTTGGGACGGATGTGTAATAGGAGCGGAAAAATGCCCCTCCATACTCTAGACAGAATGAGTGGGGTGTGGCTTATGAAGCTACATGAAATTTATTTTGAAGATTAACAGAAGAGTTCATGTCGGAGTAGCTCTCCTAACTTTCATAGATATTTGCTTATATTCCTTCGTAACATACAGCCAATAAAAGTACCATTCATACTGTACATTTCTATAATAATGCCCTCGGTAAATCTTCCCTTTATTAGGAAACTGAATATTCTGGACATTTCAACAATTAATGGATTTCATCTCCAATCCTTTCACTATAAGATCATATATATTTTTAATTGTTCGGTTTCAAGAGGTAGTTGTAATTTGATGATGAAAATTTAAAACATATATATTATTATTCTCTTTATTATTCTCTTTATTTCCTCCTTTAAGAAGATTTTACAAACAGAATAATGTAGTTACAATGATAAATTAGATAATAAATGCAAAATCAAATAGATGGTAAGGTAAAATTAGTGCACAACGTAATAAGTTAACATAATAGTAATAGGTTAATCAATTTAAGTACAGTTTACAAAAGAATACATAATTAATAATGTTAAGATTGATATACACAAAAGTATTGAATATTCATTTGAAGTATGCATTAAGCATTTTTGAAATATGATTGACTGATGCCATACGAAATTCTGTTAACTCTAATGTATTCAGTTCATACGTTATATTGCCACCAATCAGTAGGTGAAACAATTCATAGTCTGAATGAGAGTGTAAATATATGCTAAACATAAGTTCACATGCATTAATGACTTGACACCATAACTGATCTTGTAAGTCTTCTGTACAATCACATTGTAAAACTATGTGGGTATATATATTGTTATACATTTCGGAGTAGCTCTCCCAACTTTCATAGATATATGCTTATATTCCTATGTAACATACTGCCAATAAAAGTACCATTCATACTGTACATTTCTATAATAATGCCCTCGGTAAATCTTTCCTTTATTAGGAAACTGAATATTCTGGACATTTCAACAATTAATGGATTTCATCTCCAATCCTTTCACTATAAGAACATATATATTTTTAATTGTTCGGTTTCAAGAGGTAGTTGTAATTTGATGATGAAAATTTAAAACATATATACCACTTTTGAATTTGTCAAGTGATTAAATAGGGTTTTGAACCAAAATTGCTGTCTATGATGTTTTTTTAGCTGTGATCTCATCTTTGCAGAATATATGTATATAGGAACCACATTCAATAACAAAAATATCAGTGTTTTTTTTTATATTGAAAAGTTGCAGGGTCAGGTTTTGTTGTATAGAGTATAACTGAACAATGTATGAAATTATTAATATTATTTTCTATAACAAGAGCAGAAAAGCTGGTCTAAAAATAATATAAATAAGAAAATTGGCAAAAAACATTTTTTTTTTAAATTTGAAATCTAATATAGACATCGTTTAAAGAATCAAGATACACCCACTTCATTTCCTTCAGTAACATTTACTTTGTTTGTAATGTCCCTAGAGCTGTACTTATTACTTAAATGTAAGGGTTTGGAAGTTCATTACCCTAATACATAGGTACACTCTTATCTACATTTTCCCTCCTGATATCTAGCTCTTGTTATGTCCATGCAAAATATAACCCTTAAACATCAATGTCTTCCCATGCCAATGTTATTAATTATTAGAGACTATTAGAGTAACACTCACTTATCGTCCACAGTTTTAATAATTTGTCCTAAAAATAAATAATCTCACAATTTTTAGTTACAATGTATAATACATCTTTACATAAATTCCATTTTTGGTAAATTTTGCGAGCCAAAATGAAGTGAAACAAACAATTAAAAGTCAATTTCATAAAAAAAATAGATTTATGTGGAAAAAATAATATTCAAGATTTTATACTTGTAACTGGTATCACAATTGTAATTCTTTACAGATACATTTCTGTTTTCAGTTTAAATGTTTTTGTGTAAAACGAATTTTTGATTTCAAATACCTGCACATACATAATATCTTCAATTTTTAGTTAGCATTGTAGATCTTGTAATTTTCATGTTATATCTTTTTTACATAGAGCAACAAAACATACTTTGATTATTTCCTTCCAAAGACAGTGATTCCTGTCACACTAGAGTGATTTACCTAATGACATCCAAGCCAATGTAGATCTCCTTGATTAGTGTTTGATTGCTGTGATCATGGGGGTGTCATGGTCATTGACCTTTGACACTACCAATCCTAAGGATTTGATTGGTGGCTTGGAGTTAATCACCACCCAGACAAACAAATCACCTGTACAAATGACCAGTTATACCTACCTACATCGTAACACATACATCACTTCAATTTTCTAAATCATTGGATACAGGTATCGTCTCAAGTAAGAAGATGAAAGTTTAGATTTTGTTCCGATCACTGAAAAGGTAAGTCTATTTCTTCTTCTCTAATTATAATAATGATATGATTTTTGATTTAAGTAACAAGATCGATACAACTACCTTTATTATGAAATTCTAAAAGACTAATTTTGATATACATCTCATATTGTATGTGGACTTAATGAAATTGTAATGATAGTTGGCTAAAAATATAATGTTAAAATCATTTTGAGAAATGTAATGATACATTTTATAATTTTAAAATTCTGAATTAAAACAATATTTTATTGTCATTATATTCATCTTATTTTGATATGGTATAACATTTTTACCTAACCAAGTAGACATTTAAAATTGACGAGTTTTCAATATTGTTTTAAAGAAAACTTCTCTATTTCAATATTTCTCTATTTTTGAGGAAGCCATGCTGGCAAAATAATAATAATGGTTTCAAATTCACATTTTGTTATGTTTTGGGCTACAAATAGAAACAATTTCATCTCAAAGTCATAAGAGAAAATTCATTTTACTTTTTTTTCTTGTATTCTGGAATACATAATCCAGTACCTCTTCAGACAACAGCTTATACTTTTGAAAATATGGCTAAGGCCAAAACATCTATAAATAATTTCAGCTTTCGACCCCTAACAGACATTTATAGTGAAATATTGATGTATGCCATACCAAAGTATAAGTCCCAGTAATATTTGTTCACTTGACTTATTACAAAAAGATCACAAAATAAATCAGCAGCCAATAATACTAATGAACAGTTACGTGAAATAATCTAATTTGTAAAATACTATTTGTAGTCGCAAGCCAATTTCTTGGGCCACTTTCCCTAAGGTGTTCCATTTTGGGCTCATTGACATTTAATAAGGATAGACAGCTATGTAGGTAGGGATTTTTTTTTACGAAAAACAAAAATAACGAAGAAAATATGCAAATAGTGTTCTTTCTAAAATGGGCAAATAGTTAAGTAGACACTACAATTTAGGGTGTGTGCACAAGGAGAAGCAGAATAACAGAGTTGGCTTTATTTAACCTTATATTTCAATATATTTTTTTACACACGAAATAAATAAATATCATAAATAAAATTATGCACAAAATGAAACAAATCAATCCTTTTGAATTTCACCTTCAAGGCACCATAACATGATGATACATGCATAGAAACATTTTTTGGATAGCCAGTGGTTAGGAAATATACAACTATCTAAATTTTTACAGTTAAAAAAACCCTTTCAAAAGTAGAGTTGAATAGCATGTGATAAGTTGCACATGAATGTGCTAAGGAATGTGACTGGTGAAACACTGCCCTACAGAGAGTGACTCCAGTGCTCACTCAGCCATGACCAGGTAGGATTGCAGTGCCTATATATGTGGATATACAATAACATTGCAGGCACCCCATGAACTTTGCATGCTCTGTTTTCCACTTCTGGGTATCTTTCTAGATTGACCAATCATAAAACAGGAACTGATACATTTGATACTCACTGCCCATGTCGGTTGTTCCACATGCATACAAATGAGATAACCTTAACCAATGAGAAGACATTGACCTTTTTGCTTGACCTAATGAGTATATAAACATGCAGCTCCCTCTGTTATCTGTTCACTATTTTGTTTTATTCAGTTGTGTGGAGATCTGTCAAAATTGGAGGGAAAATACAAAGACTGGAAACAAATTAGCACCTACAGCAATTATCTGAGATATATTTTGAGTTAATTTCACCCAAAGGATTATGGAACTTAAGCAGGAAGCTCTAGAGTTACCTGACAAATATATAAACAGTAGTCCCACACTGGAGGAGATCTACACTGACATTTGTTCTATAAACATGTCTGACTGTGACAGTGCCACAGTGAATGGTGACCGTACTACACCTACAGGATGCCCTGCCCCCTGTCTACCCACCTGGGACTTTTCACCCGTACCCACTTCCTTACACAACAGCATGATGCATCTACGCTCTCTGTCACCCGAACCCAGATATGAGGAGATCCCTTCATGCCAACATAGTGAGTATTATAGCAATATGAGTGGCCAGGACTCTTTGACACAAAGTTCCACCTCACAAGGTTACCAGGAGTGGGGAATGTATAACTGGGAACATTTGACAGGGTACAATCCACACCCCCATAGGTTTGATATCCCATCAAGCCTTGGTGACAGTGGTAGTTGTTACTACAAATCTACCACCCAACCCCTATGTACCACACAGCAGTATGGTGATGACATTGCCCGGTGTTCCACACCCGACCTCATCAGTGCCCTCTCGTCACTTCAGCCTGACAAGGACCAGGGTGATAGTTCTGTCCCAGCACACAGCGGTGCTACCGACATTAAGGAGACTTGTAACGTGTCTGTGGTACAGGAGCATGGCACCTCCGCTATGTTTATGCACCTTGCACAGCGGTACCAAGACAGTGGTTATAACTCTGACCTCTCCATGTCACCAGTCTATCCTTATAAATCTAAGAACACAACCAAGACCAAACAAGACTCGGACGATGAAGTAAAAGATAGCCTTGTGCATCTTAATAGAGATATAAGTGTTGCTCAACATGTTCCTAAGTTTAGTTCACTGGAGAAGGCCTCCCTATCTATGTCTCAGAGTAACATACTAACTTCGCTACCCAGAGCTTACTGTTTGTCTCGCAAGGAAAGCCAGATTCAGTCAAGTGACGTGTCCTCATCAGATTACCATTCCTCCATGATGGTTACCAAGGCAACACACAGAATGCCTCCAGTACAACCCAATTCAATGCTTTGCAATAAGCATCCAGCCAAACGTCCCATTCAGTCTCAGGAACAGCATGGACCAGCGAAGCGTAAACATGTGACACCACAGACAGAGATTGAAGACACGTGTAATGAATTCATGCAACAAATGCCCCCTACAGATAAGAAGACCATGTTTGGTATTAATCATAGCAAGACAAAGGCGGACCATGACAAGAAAAACCGCCATAACCAGCCTCTGAACCTGCAGGCCACCGGTACGATGATGAGTTGGTATGAGAGCCATCGGGAAAACCCCTATCCCACCAAAGTAGAGAAGGAGTTGATGGCTAAGTTAGGTGGAATCACAGTGACTCAGGTTAAGTCTTGGTTTGCCAACAAACGTAACCGCAACAATAACACGCGACCCAAGGTACAGAAACGTCAGATGACTGAACGCCTGATGAACATTTGTCATGAGCTGGCACGTAACTCTCAGAATCCCACAATGAACAATGCGGACATCATTCAGAAGCTGTCCACCATTATAACTGTTCCCCAAAGTGAGGATGTGCTGTGATACATGGATGTGTTAGGTGCTGAACCTAGGACCAACTGACTGACATTACAGATAACAAGTTTGCTGTCGTATTTGTGCTTGAAGAAAGGCCAGGTTTGTTATACGTGTACTTAATTAATTGAAAATGTGATGTAAATGCCCCTCCCCCCCATTGTGCTATTATTTATTTGGGTGTATAACACCAAATCCTTATCACAAATAAATGTGAAGTTTAGGTGTTAACTTTTTGTAAAAACTATTTTATTGATATGCAGTGCATATTTTTAAAAGAAATGAATGTAAAGTGAAGCGTGAAGACTTTTTTCCCCAATATCAATGTTCAGGTAGATTTTCAAGATTGACATTGCAAGAACTAGATATGTATTTATATTTTTATATAACCCTGCAATATTTCAAATAATATTAATATTCTACCCTGTTGATAAATAACATTGAAGAGTTATTGCCCTTGCCCCTACATGTATTGGTGCTCAAGAATTTATCATATTGGATATTTTTTCGTGTTCTACAATTTTCAGCATTTTTGTTTTTATCTGTTATCAAAGAGTATATATATCTATGTGTGACCTAATTTTGAATATGAAAATCACACAAACAAGTCTGATGTGTACAGCATACCAGACAAACACAACTTACTCATTCCCCTTATTGAATAAGCAGTATTCATCATATTACAGAATCTGTTAAGAAATGATTTAATTCAGGATTAAAATTGCAATAGGAGTAGAGAAATGGCATAATTTCTAAGTTATGTCCTAAATGAGCAAAGTATAGGAGGCTGAATAGTGATTTACCATCAACACCATGTTGGTGGTGGATTCGCTTCACTTTTACAGTTTTTAGTAATTCCGTCCACCATTTCACCACATTGTACTTATTTTGTGTCGCACTTTATGCCTATGTTTTGTTCATGTGTAAAGTTATTCCAAATATTTTAAAGTTGATTTTGTTTACTAATATTATCAGGCGAGTATCAAGTAACTAATATGAAAATGACTTCCTTAGAAAATCTATATAATATTGACTTGGATGCAGTTTAAAAGAATACCTGTTGGGCCAAACTTGGGAAATTTGGGATAGTCAGAAAATGATTGCAACAACTCTCAGGTTTTTTTAATTTCAAAAGATCACAGTAGTGCCCAAGCAGTTAGTGTGATTTAACGTTATCTCTTACATTCACAGTACACTCATACATAACTTATATACAGTTTATCATACACGACATGGGACATCCAAAGTTGTAGTATTTCCTGACCTCTTGCATTTCTAGAGGAATTCACTTGTCCTCCTATCAAAGTAAGAGACACTAGTATACTTTATCTTCATATCTGTGTATAGAACTGTTACCAGTACATGTTGAAATTAGTACAGGTATTCCTTGCCTTTGATAGATTGAGAGATTTCTGGTGGAAGACCAGAGACATTTTGACCAGAGACATTTGCTTTGTTAAAATATTTTTGTGCTGATTTTAGGCCATAGTTTGTCTTTGCACTCCAAAGATACTCAAACTACATCAGACATCTGTCTGTCATGTCTCTGGTCAGGTAGGAGGGTCAGAGGTTACATGGACTACATCAGACAGATGTCTGTCATGTCTCTGGTCAGGTAGGAGAGTCAGAGGTTACTTGGACTACATCAGACAGATGTCTGTTATGTCTCTGATCAGGTAGGACTGTCTGAGGATACGTGGACTACATTAGACAGATGTCTGTCATGTCTCTGGTGAGGTAGGAGGGTCAGAGGTTACTTGGACTACGCCAGACATCTGTCTGTCATGTCTCTGGTAAGGTAGGACTGTCTGAGGATACTTGGACTACATCAGACAGATGTCTGTTATGTCTCTGATCAGGTAGGACTGTCTGCGGATACGTGGACTACATCAGACAGATGTCTGTCATGTCTCTGATCAGGTAGGACTGTCTGAGGATACGTGGACTACATCAGACATCTGTCATGTCTCTGGTCAGGTAGGACTGTCTGAGGATATGTGGACTACATCGGACAGAAATCTGTCATGTCTCTGGTCAGGTAGGACTTTCTGAGGATAATCAGACTACACCAGACATCTGTCATGTCTCTGATCAGGTAGGAGGGTCAGAGGTTACTTGGACTACGCCAGACATCTGTCTGTCATGTCTCTGGTAAGGTAGGACTGTCTGAGGATACTTGGACTACATCAGACATCTGTCATGTCTCTGATCAGGTAGGACTGTCTGAGGATACGTGGACTACATTTGTCATGTCTCTGGTCAGGTAGGACTGTCTGAGGATACTTGGACTACATCAGACAGATGTCTGTTATGTCTCTGATCAGGTAGGACTGTCTGAGGATACGTGGACTACATCAGACAGATGTCTGTCATGTTTCTGGTCAGGTAGGACTGTCTGAGGATACGTGGACTACATCAGACAGATGTCTGTTATGTCTCTGATCAGGTAGGACTGTCTGAGGATACGTGGACTACATCAGACATCTGTCATGTCTCTGATCAGGTAGGACTGTCTGCGGATACGTGGACTACATCAGACAGATGTCATGTCTCTGGTCAGGTAGGACTGTCTGAGGATATGTGGACTACATCAGACAGAAATCTGTCATGTCTCTGGTCAGGTAGGACTGTCTGAGGATATGTGGACTACATCAGACATCTGTCATGTCTCTGGTCAGGTAGGACTTTCTGAGGATACTCAGACTAGACCAGACATCTGTCATGTTTCTGATCAGGTAGGTGGGTCAGAGGATACTTGGACTACATCAGACATCTGTCATGTCTCTGATCAGGTAGGACTGTCTGCGGATACGTGGACTACATCAGACAGATGTCTGTCATGTCTCTGGTCAGGGAGGACTTTCTGAGGATACTCAGACTACACCAGACATCTGTCATGTTTCTGATCAGGTAGGTGGGTCAGAGGATACTTGGACTACATCAGACATCTGTCTGTGGTGTCTCTGGTCAGGTAGGAGGGTCAGAGGATAGTCAAGACTAAGATCTAGAATTTCTTGTTATTAATTTATAATTGTTTCTGATGATCCCTTTCCATAGTTATGTTAACTGATGACCTATACATCTGGTACTGTTTAATACTGAGTATATTTAATTTTTCTAAGATCTTCACAACACTGCCATTTTAAATCAATACATGTAATCAAAATTTTAGAAGATCGCTGGTGTAATACTTTGACATATATATAGAAAAAGATACAGAACCATTTGTATTCAAGTTTGACCATGCACAAGAACATTTTTTAAATTTCTAATGCAGGTTTTGGTCATAGCCAATGATACAAGTTATACATTTGTACAAAGCTGTTTTTCACCTGACATAGTCTTGTTTGCTGTAACAGATTCAGGTTTTCCAACAATTTCTGAATATTGCAAGGGAGATAACTTCTGATATTTTATTTTAACAAATATCTTTCAGATATTGGTAGTATTTTTTCCTTTTTCCAGATTTAACAAATTCAAACACTTCATTAGAATCTGTTCAAACCAATTTCTCATAATATGACAGTGATTTGAAAAATCAATATATCTTGAAAATGACTGTTTCTTAAGATATGAAACACCATCCATTCTCCAGTTTTATTATGCTCTACATATCATAAGTGAATAGTGGATTTTCCTTCTGTGATTTGTAAATTGACTTTGAACATGTTTATACGCTGTGATAGGTATCAAGGTATGGTAGATGTACTGTACCAAATTGTTGTACCAGCTGTGAATTAAAATAATTATGTCTTTTTGTGCAATATTCATTGTACCTTTTGCTGTGCAATATGAAAAGTTATATTAATTTGAGAATCCCCGAATCTCTGTTTAATAGAATATGTAACTACCTCAGTATCTCTGTCATATTCGTTTACTTAGCATAACATTTCTGCATGTACAATGCTAATGGCAACAGAGGAAAGTTTTTGCCAAATTGAAAATTGATTTCAATGTTTTAAAATATATTGTATGTTAATTCTATCCAAGTGCTTTCAAAAACATAGATCTGTGCTTTCAAAATTAAATGTTGAAGTTAGGTAATAAGTGTTGAAAACAAATTTTGAAGGAATTTATTGTGTGTGGGTGTGTGCTTAAATCTGAATGAGGCCAAGTACATTGAGTATCGTAAGGCAACCATTTTGTAAAATGATACATGTAAAGTGACATGACAGCAAAAAGAATACTGAAAGAAAAGATGATTTATTTTTTATCAAAGTATGATAACATGTATTTGAAAAGGAAGATAAATTATGACTGAATGAATATGAGTGAGAATGTATTTATGAGTGTGAAAATAATTGTAAAAAGTTGGTGAACTTGTTAAACACTGTAGTGAAGTAGCACTCTGCCAGAGTCGACACTGACTGTATATATGTAATCATAGATGTGAGAATGAATGTGTAATTACTTGGAGACAATTTATTTGTTTCTATACAACCTTGTAAATATGTAAACAAATTCCTTCCTATTTATGTACATAGACAACACTGCATGCATTACACCTTTTCAACATTTATTTATTTGTGTTTTAATAAAATTGAACACAATGATATTCTGTCTATGAATTTTATTTCCCACCAGTTCCGCCGAAAACCTATGACAGTGAACATTTTCAAGCCCATAAAAACAATGAACATTAATATTTCAGTCACACAGAGAGGACGGTGACACTCTGTTCCTGTTTTATTGTTTTATATTCTGTACAGACGAAGAGAAGCAGCCTCCTAGTCCAGGTTTCCACAGCTGTACTGATACTGCTGCTGTCATCACGGCTATTAGTCGACTGCTTCATGGTAATGGTGGCGTAACAATGAAAGTCATGTGACTTAAAATAATACACAGTAACTATGACAGCATCAACAGTTACCAAGGAAACAGATATGACATCACAGATAACATGTAAACTAGATTAAATTTGCTGTGACTCCTCATTGGATGATGTTTGTTAATCTCTTCCTCTGAATTTTGTCAAATTTGATAATAATCGAGCAAAATAACTAGGCAGACATACGATACATTGAACAAGCCGATACAGCAGAACCCTGTAAACTGAGACTGGAATGAGTGCTATGGTGCAGATATCATGAAAACAAGGACAAATTTATTTACAAGATACAAAATATCTTGATATAACCTAAATACAAATTATAAACAAGAAAATTCATTTTTTTGTTGGTGTGGAGTCTGAGTTAAATGGATTTTGCTGTATCATATATATGACGGATGATTCATACCTGTTCATACCAGGAGGCCACCGTAGATTCCTGAAGAACAGAAACATGGTGTTTTTATTATAAATAGCATAATATTGTCTATTTTTTATATAACACATATGCATTAGCTTGGAAAATTCTTTTCTTCTGAAATTGTGACAAAAACATTGACAGCAAATGGTGACTAACATCATTACTGGTTCAAAAACTATTACCTAAGAATAAGACTTATTGTCCAAAGTGTCTAAAATTCTTTCAGAATAGGGCAATAAGCATGGTAAAAGCTGAATACAGTGGCTATTTTGTAGTTTAAACTGTTGCTTCTGATAAGAATCATTCTGGATTATCATGTGCCAAAACGATACATTTCAGTAAGGTTCTGTAACAAAATATACACATTTGTATGAGTATATCGTTACAACACTAAATCATAAACAGGAAATTATTCTTGTAAAACATTTGAGGTACTTACCATGTACACATAGCTTGTGAAAAAGCACACAATCCCATCAGGAACTATCACCGAAAAGTCGACCAAAAGGTTGCCATAGTTACGAATCACAGCTGAAAAAGTTAGATAAAATGTTTTACCTCCCCTAGAGCAGAAAACCATAATTGTCTGGCCTTAAACAATGTTGATGGTATAAAAGATTTGATGAAGTATATATACAAATACCATTTTCATTTTAAAAGTAGTACTGAAATGTATATTCTTCTTATACTTATATTTATTGAAATTTGAATTTCAAAAATTTGATAGAATAATGAACATGTTGCAACAGCAGATAAAGTCTGTATAAACTATCTTCCATAAAGACCAAGGGTCTGTTTGTTTATGCGGAACAACCGGTTTGTCCGTTTTTAAATGTAACAATTTCGAGTAAAAATCCTGGCGAACCTGCAAATGTTTATGCAGGCCTTAAAAGGCTTTCTGAAGGCCTGCCTGAAAGCAGCATCAGATTACTAGGTCCTGCCTTATTTGATAAACTAACAACTGTGGTACGACCGGTTCAACCGTTTAAATGAACACAGCCTTAGACACTCGGACATATCTTCCCTAACATTAATTAGTCTGATACCTATGTCTTCCCTAACATTGATAAGTCTGATACCTATGTCTTCCCTAACATTGATAAGTCTGATACCTATGTCTTCCCTAACATTAATAAGTCTGATACCTATGTCTTCCTTAACATTAATTAGTCTGATATCTATGTCTTCCCTAACATTAATAAGTCTGATACCTATGTCTTCCCTAACACTAATAAGTCTGATACCTATGTCTCCCCTAACATTAATAAGTCTGATACATATGTCTTCCCTAACATTAATAAGTCTGATACCTATGTCTTCCCTAACATTAATAAGTCTGATACCTATGTCTTCCCTTGTTTCAAATTTTGTACTCATGGCTACTTGGTCATTCCCTTTGCTCACAATCTGTAACAAAATAAAGTGAATAGTTGTTAAGAAGTCCAACATGGAAAATATGTTATTTTTTAAAACTAAATATAATGTTAAATATATTTTTTCTAATTTTAATTTAAACTTAATACATTTTGTATTCTAGTTGGAAAGATCACTGGTTGAAAACTAGCTTTGTGAATACCGTGTTAAGTGAAGGATAAACTTCAGAAAGTATGAAATTCGACAGTGAACAGCCAATGAGAATTAAGTATACCATAGGACAGATACAGGTACGGGCCAGTGTCATAGAGAAGGATGCCACGGTCACTGGTCGGAAGTCCAAGATCTTTGGGTACATGTCCATAGGGGACAGAGTCTGAAAATCAAACATTCACTTATCAGATAAAAAAATGTTAAAAGAGAAGAAATATCAGTTGAAAAGTGAAAAAAATAATTATTGCAAACAATCATATGATTTAATCAGTCAACTGCTTTTAAATGTTACATTTATGTTAATCACACTTGATTAGATAAACATTAATATTACTTAACTGGACTATCATCTTTCTGCGAAATAGCATCAATGAATAATCTGGGTTAGGATGACAGACTTACTGTGAATGCTTTGACTTAAATGGCTTACCCCAGATGTGATTACAACAGACTGGAAACGATCAAACACAGGCTTAATGGCAATGGACGCATCCATACAGCTAAAGTTGAGAATTGGATTGGATATGGTCGGTGTCCTGTCATCAAATGGCTCAATGATGAGGGAGAAACCTGCAAAATGAACTACACAATGAAGAATGATATCTGTAGTAGCATTCTATTATAACCCCTTATTGACCAGGTATTTAGAGATCAATGCTCTTGATGTATTTTCTTTCAAATTTTGTTTTATATTCTCTGTACACGAGTCGTTTTAGTTTTTGAATTTGTTTTTTTGTACTTATCTCCAAGAGACATCAAATGATAAGGTTTTTAATGATCAATTTGTTTCATTCATGACGCAGAGGTGATATTTGTGTTCAGGGGTAGTAGACAGATTGACTGTTTCTAGTCAGTAGTTTTACCTTTTGTGTAGGTGCTGACTAGTGTGGCGAAGTGAGAGATGACAGTTAGAGGGGTGAAGTTCTGGAGGTCAATAATTTCTAATGTCCTGAGTAGGGATCTCAGTCGCTCAGCACAAAACCTGAAACAAGAGATGTCTTATGCACACAATAGTAATGAACTTTATGTTAAGATACAAAAAAGCTAATATGTTGTTTGTATTTGTATATATACACTGTAAGTTGGAAGATTTGAGCAATAAAGAACTTTCACATGTAAGATAGGCACACTGCATTTAATCATTTAAATTTTAGCTTGGAATAAATGTTACTCTAATACAAAGCCATCCAGAGAGGTCTTGTTTTGTGTTGTCTAACAGTGTTTTTCTGAGTGATTTAAAAGTCTATCCATGTGACATGTAATTGTGCATGTCTGATAGGTTTAACATTTTGTTTGTGATTTCTAACAGTTTACCCGAGTGATCAAACAGTCTTTCCAAGTGATTCATAACCTTGCATGTCAGAGATGACTAACATTTTACGTGAATTGTACAACAGTTTACCTGGGTGACTTATCAGCTCAAATGATTGGTCTAAAACTAACCGCCTACCTGAGAAATATTAACAGTCTAACTGAATAGTTTAACAGATCATTACCGGAGAGGTTTGCGGTCTATGCAGACTTTTTGCGCACAGTCCTTTAGAAATGACGGTGGGCTCTCTGACACGACATGCTGTACCCGCAGACGTATCTTCATGTACTCCAGGAATCTCTTCATGAAGGATAGGAAGTGCTCGGCATTCCTAATATTACCTGGCACTGCCTCTGTCAGCAAAATACAGGTAACACATCTCTTTTCTTTTTAATATTTAATTATTACACATATAATATATATAAATAACTAATAATTTATTTTTACCATTTTGATGAGATCATATAATTTTTTTACATAATAACAAATCAATATAAAATTTTACTTGAAAATGTCCCAGACTTGCTGTAGTATGATTAATGTATATATGCAGGAAAAGCTATAAAGATTGATTTGAAAAAAGTGGAGAAATGTGAAAAAACAATAGTTTAAGATATATTTGGTCTGGCATTGGTGAAGTGTTTTATAAATATTTTACAATCCATAAATGTCCTGGAAAAGATTTGCTGCAGTTAGCAATAATACCCACCTTGGAGAATTTGATCTGGTAGTACTGCAAGAGAAAAAATACAAAGACATTATATAATTTCATTATCAAACAGAGTATGATATTTGTTTGATTTTGAAATCGAAAATTGAGAAACGAGGACTTAAGTTAAAACATATTGCATTTTGTGGAATAAGCTTGCTGAGATCCATTGTAGAATGTGCTAGTCACTTACCAGGATTGGAGAGAACAACGTCTGTTTCCCTGTTGATGTGTGCCTCCCTCAGACCATCCACAAGTCTCCTGTACTCGTCCTGGAGGCGATCAGTGTCAGAGTCTTTGATTCTACAAACATTTCACAGGAAACACAGAAAAATAAATGATTCCTAACAAGGCTGCAGATTTTATTGTTGGTACAGTTCCATTAATGCTAAAACAGGCTAGATTGAAACCAAATCAGTTCATGCCATTGATCTCGTTTTTTGAAATTCCCTGCCTATTAATTAAAATAGTCATAAATGATGTAACAACATAGGTTCAGCAGTACCTGTCAATGTGTTTGGTGAGGGCCTCTATATTCTGGGTACATTTGTCCAGTGTTCTTCTACTGATGGTTACACTCATGGATTCTATACACACATTGTCTGAAATTGTATATAATACATATTAAAACATGTTACTTGATAACTATATCAGATATAGATATATCAGTAATACATGTCAGATATATTAGAATAAATGCTCTTTATCTTGTTTGATATAAAATTTCACTGTTTTTCTACTGGTAAAAAGGCCTACAATGTAGTGAGATTAAACATCACATGTAATATCCAAGTTTATAAAATGGATTCTATTATTCTACAACACAACTTTTAAGAAACACCTTCATCTGTATGGAGGATATTGCTCCAGACATAGGGAGCATTTAACTGTAACATTTTGAGTTTGAGCGGCTTGAAATCATATCTTTGACACATACAACTACAGAACTGTACCTATATTATGTGCTTCATCAAATATGACGATTGATTGCCTCGACAGTTCCTTGGACACCAGGTCTGCTATCTTAGGATCCAAAAGGTAATAGTAGCTGTAGACAACAATGTTTGCATGGGAAATCTGGAATAAATTTAACAGAAAAAAATCTCCATAAAAAGGTACTAGATAAACATACCATGTGATCACAAAATCTGAACATTACAATCACAATTTGAAGTTGTCATTTTGTTCCAGCCCTGCTACCACAATCATTTTTCTTCGTTTCACCAACTTATTTATATGTCTTACGTATCTGCATCAGACAAATCACTTAAACATTACTTCATTTACAGCTTGTAGTATGCATATCACTTGGCCACATAAAATTGGAAGAAGAACTCGCTCTTCTTGAAATGAATTTGTAAATCAATTTTAAAACAAGTGCAAAATCTTACTGCATATCTGGCAAGGAAGTAAGGACACCACCCTCTTCGTCTTCCATAATCTTTAAGCTCATCCTGAAAGAAAAATTATCAACCATATTAGTTCCTACTTATTAGATAAATGAACTCATATTTTCCCTATTGTGTAAAAGTAATCCTGTTAAGTGTTGCATGTATATTAAAAAATATTGAAAAGAACTTTCCTGGTATGTTATGATTAGCAATATTTCAGAAAATTCAGAATGTTTATCTTCGGATAGTAAAAAGTTGTGCTCACCAAACCGTATACTCCTTCAGGTAAAGGGACTTCTCTTCCATTCATATCAAATTTCTGTGCAGAAGATAAGGCAGATGCAGTTCATCAAGTATTGTACTATTTATATTAAAAAATCATGGAAAAAAGAGCAAGGGTGACATAAATATTGGTCTACTTTCTGGATTTTTTTTAACTCATTGAGTACTGTAATCTACCTCATAGAAACTGCAGGAGGGAACATTTTCTGGGTCTCTCTTGTGTCTCATTCGTACATGTGTGGCCGTCAGCTGATGGCAGTTACTGTCGACTGTTTTACCATCCTGGTTCTGGCTGATCTGCATGGATAAAGTGACATTATAAGATAAATATTTCCAATGGTCTCTTCACCAATATTTTTTGCACTAATGCTTGGCAGTGATTACCATTTTAAAGCAACATAATTGGTCAATTACATGCTGTTAGTATGTTAATTCTACCAAGAAAGCAAGGTTGTATTTTTCAAATCAATTAAGTATGAAATTACCCCTGGATGAATGCAGAGATTTTTCCTTGAACTGAGGGCTAGAGCCATTATCTTAGGTCTGTCTTCCCCAGCCTCTCTCTCATAGTACTGCATCAGGTTCTTCAATTCTTCAATCACCTGTAACATCACATAGATACTATTTAAGAATGGATTGCTATACATAATTTCTGAACTTCATTATTCTAGCTAACTTGTTTACGGAAACAGAATAAACTGAAATTTCCTAACACTGACCAAACTATCAACAACATGCATCTTCAGGTAGCAATGTTGAATGTCAAATTGTTGAATATTTAGCCACGAATGGTTAATTATTGACAAATTTCTAAAGACCAAAATCTATTCATACCTACATCAATGGTCATGCTATTCTGATAGTTCAGATATTTTTAGATCTTGCCTCATTTTCATGTGAAAGTCATTTCGTACAATATAACAGGTAATCTTACCTTCTCTAATTCTGGTACTGTTCTAGAGCAATAGATGACTTTGGTAACTTCTAGAGGATACGCCTGAAATAATAATAAAAGACCAGTATTGAGTAAACTAGAATTTCCATAAAAAATAACCTATACGTACAATTTGCAAAATAATAAAATAACAACAAAACACCAGTAGTTACCAAGTTTGTATTACCGTAAGTTTAGATTAAAAGTCATTCAGTTTTGTAGTTGGTAATCAATTATGCTTAAATTGACCTAACATACTTGTCGATAAAAGATAACAAATAGTTATACCTTCATATAAGCCACAGTGAGGGAAAGTAACGTGATAGTCTTTCCTGTTCCTGAAGGCATTTCCAACACACAGTGACCCTAAAAATAAATAAACGTTAATGTCTAACTCAAACTGCTCTATATACAAACCATAATGTGATCTATAAATATGTATTAACCTTAAGCCAAACAGAAATTTGATACTCCACACACAATGTTTATATAATATATATTTAATAATATACAAAGTATATATAAATTTATGTTAGTTTAATATACAGCATAATTTGAATATATTACTGACAATATTTGAATAGTTCAATAACTTAGAGCAGGCTGTTTCTGATATTCCTCTATATATACATGTATTTGTGTGTTTGTAATTATATTGGATTATAAGTTACCTTTTCAAATTAATGTGAGGATGATTGTAAAGAAAACTTTTAACCAGTTTGAAATAAGGAAAATTTGGTTACTTTAAACAATGGAAAATTAAGGACCATAAATTTACTTTTGCATCTAGAGACCTCTTCAGCTCCAGCATGTACATATACTGTTCTGGGTAAATGTAGTCAAATGGAAAATAAACCAATAAGCCATCCACGTTGATCCTGTCGTAACAAAAATTGTACTTTTTAAATACATTAATAGTACATTTCACTTCCAATTTTTTTCGATTATAATTTACATGACAGAAAATGAGAGAGATCAATTCAGTGAACATTGTCATTGATAGTGACCATTTTTACATCGTTAAAAATAAGTGTCAACTATAAATATTTGTCATACTTCATTCTGACTGTAGTGTGCGTTTGTGTGGTCCCAGAAAATATTGCCAGTAAGTAATTATGACGTGCTTTGAATCTCTATATAAGAAAAACGCTGAGCATGCCGATTGTCTGCAAATTTTTGTTTTGAAACAAACCGGAAGCACATGTAGTATAGCTATTATCTAGACGCTTTAAATTTAGGAGTATTTTCTACGTAAAATTCAAACACTTTACCGACCTAGAATGAGTTCTTTCGGTTTACCTCTAATCATTTTATTAATTTCAATAAAGAAACACGAGACCATGTCTTTAATCGAAAAGAATAAAAATGAAAGTCCAACGGAGACAGTTAGCACGATTTCATATCGAAGAACATACTCCAACAAGTCATCCATTGCATTTGTCCATCAGTGAAAAAGATGCCGAAAAACTAGGAATACCAACGAAAGAGGACTCAAAATTATGTTTCCTGTCTGTGTGTTGTAAAAGATCATCTGATCTCGACTTCAGTTTCAGCAGCTCTTTTCCTGTCACTCCTTCCTCTGGTGGGCAGATCAGTGGTAGTACTTCCCCTAGTGGGAGCATCCGCTTCCCCTCTTCCTGCTCCTGTGATCCCCACATTGAGTCTACAAATATATGCTGTGATCAGGACTGGCTGGACATAGCTGTATGCGTTTGGATAAGAAAAGAGCAGGGGGACATTGTTGACAGAAAATTGAAACCTGAGTATAGTGACTTTTTAGTTTTGAATGGAACTCCGAACTTTTTAGCACATTACCAAATCGCCGCTGAAGATGATTTGTACATCAGACCAGTTAAAATATACCCAATTCAGAAAATTGTTATTGGTGTGTCAAATTTCAACGCATACCGCTGGCTACAGAAAGTTAATTTTTGTACAGGACTGTTGGTGGAAGTGTGTTTACACCCCATACTGGTCAGGGAGAATGATATCTTCCTGGCACCATTCTCAAAAATCTTCCTAAGTGACTCGGAATTTGATCCTTCATTCTATTTTGACATGCAAGTGTTAGAATGTTGCCCACTTCGAGTTGGTAGAATCACAGTGAATACAGAGATTATAATCTCATACATTGACCAAGATGTCCATAGGAGCAGTGCTGATTTTACTTTGGACAGTCCGACAAAGGCCATGGCTTCTAAGAGTGTTGACCAGTACCTAATATCAGACTTTTGTCAGCCAATGAGGCCAGATTCACTGACACTCAATGCCAAAACTATTGGCGTCCAGAAATCCTCTACACAACCTCTGTACATATCCTTTAATTACCAAGTAGTACAGCAACATATTCTCTGGAAGCGACTTTTAATCAAACCACAACAAAAAGTGACTTTTGATCCTCTATACTACATAGGTATGACTAAACAAACAATGCTACAGCATGGATTCTTTGAAGAAAGTCTTGTCCGTGTATCACTGGATGATACATCTCAACCCTTTTCCGTACCGTTTAGACTTGGTCTGGTCAAGTGTATAACAGAGTCCCTAGAAAACACCAATAAAGTGTTCATTTCACCTCTGATGTTGTTCAACTTGCAAATGACCTGTGCCAAGCCTCATGGCATAATTGGACCTATAAGGATTGAGGTATTTCATGAAATTACTCTTTATGAAATATATAGCAAAGATTAAAAATAATACTTTTAGTTCATAATTATATAAGAGGATTTTACAAAAATATAACCTTGAATTTAGGACAAACCATGTGTACACTTACTTACCTGAAAAGGTGGATACACTTCAAAATACTGAAGGGAATTTGCCTTTAAATATGTAGGAATTATATATTATCTTAGATGTTGATGAAAATCTAGAAAAAAGACTTTTCATATATATGTTGAATGTGGAAGTTTTGAGCTTGAAGTTTGAATCAAACAGCAAAATGCAAAAACCAAGGATATTACATTTATAATAAGAGTATTTAAATTATACATTGAAAAACTTAACAGATTAAAATGTATGCAGATCAAAGGAAATTAAATCAAGCTTCTAAATTTACAGAGAATGCATTTATATTTCATTCTCAATAGTGATCTATCTTACCTATATTTTTAATATATACTGTACATGTAGTCCTGTGTTGATTTTTTTTTAGAAATACCACTATGAACAAGATGAGCATGAAGTTGATTCTGGAACAACAAGTTCGTGCTGGAGCAGTAAGATTCCGTTGGCCAGAGAAGTACAGATCTCCATAGTGATAAGCCCGTACTACAGTCCAAGAGCCATTCACACGGAGGCTATCAAGACCTACTTCAATGTCCCAAGGTCTAGTGCTGGCAAATCATTTGTCTTGTTCTATACAACTCTTATTGTAAGATAATGTATCTCTGACAGAGAATAATAGAAACATAATTTATATGCACACTATAAGTTGCTACACAACAAAACAAAAAATTGTTTTACTGTAATTTTTTCTACTTTTCTACGTATAGCAATCAGAACACAATGCATTTTACGGATTTTTTTGTACTAATATGAAGTAAAAAGACACATTCAAGACACTTAAATGAAATTCTGAATGTTTTTAAAGAAAATTTGTCGGGATTTTTTTAGTATTCTAGTTTCTACTGATATTTTCCAGGGTAAAATGGAAATACATGTAAGCCAAGCTGAGGTATAGCAAACAATGATGCAGTGTAATTCGTTTCTGGTATACTGTATCTATGACTTAAAGTTATAGGTGCGATCACCTGTGTGTGTGTTACATCTAACTTAGCAAATTACATAAGCTAAGGGAAATAACTGGATTTGTATGACCAATTTTTCCAAAACAGCTCACATCAAGATGTTGATGTCACAACTCTTTTTCTTACCTGATAATTTTTTATTTCAATTGCTACTCTTTTAGAGTATGCAGACAATTCATTATTGCATAGCTGTTTCGATTATTAATCTTGCAATTTTGAGCTGTTCTTTGTTTTGGTAGAAAATTTGACATTGTTACTGTCAATGGTATTGAATTTAATATATATTTCATTTCTTTCTTGTTTGTTTTATTTCAGGCTGATGACCAAAGGTGACATTATACCAATCAGGAGTACAGGTATATCTCGGCACAGTGTCTAACAAATATTGTGTGTACAATAATGTATTCGGAGTGCTTACATATTTCTTGTCACATGTATCTGTCCCAATGTTTATAAAATTGGACTTTTAATAGGATAGTCATGGAATGTTTGATATTTTCTCTTCTCATGAATTCAGGGTTAAACGATGTTATTAACAGACTCTCAAATTATTCTAAAAGACTTCCATATTAGTTTAACGAGTTATGGAGTTTTTTCTTATTCTACTGTTTTTTTCAGATGATCCAGAATTCAGTACCCTGGGTATGGACACAGAGAAGAGGAACCCAGTGGTTTTCTTCAAGGTGGTCAAGATTGATGGACCAGAGGTTCCCCTCCCATGTTACATCTGTGATAGTGGTTCTACTAGACTCATACAGGTAGGAAACTATACCCAGTACTGGTAACATTAAACTTCAGTAAATATACAGGTAGGAAACTATACCCAGTACTGGTAACATTAAACTTCAGTAAATATTATGTTTTTAAGATTGATATTGCAGAAAAACAGAATTTAGTGAAATTTCTGGTTATATGTTATTGTTAGTACTCATGGTATGAACACATACCTGATATTTATTGATGAAATATTGGTAGTTTTGACCAGACAAAGTTACTAAAGATCAGTTGTGTTTGTAAAACAATTCCTGTGCTATAGATAAAGATGTATATTCAGTAAAACCTTTTGCAGTTATTATAAACATTTTTGAGTAGAATGTTAGAGTAAGTTGTGGTTAAGCAACCTAATTAAGGAGAAAGACAAAGAATCCTACATTAAGAATCCCCATACCACTGCCAAAAACTGTAACGAAGTGTTGGAAACTGATTTATCTCACATGACGATAGGTTTGATAAATCCTTTAGGAAGAGAAAACCATAGATTGCGGGACGTTTCTAAGAAATGCAATAATAAAGATGAAATAAACAAATAATCAACAATATTGTTCTGAATGTAAAACAAAATCAGCGTGGCTAGACCTGGAATTCAGATTGTTATACTATCCCTCTTACAGACTTAGCTAGCTGGTCAGTGGACATCAGATTGTAATACTATCCCTATTACAGACTTAGCTAGCTGGTCAGTGGCCATCAGATTGCTATACTACCTCTCTTACAGACTTAGCTAGCTGGTCAGTGGCCATCAAATTGTTATACTATCTCTCTTACAGACTTAGCTAGCTTGTCAGTGGCCATCAGATTGTTATACTATCCCTCTTACAGATTTAGCCAGCTGGTCGGTGGACATCAGATTGTAATACTATCCCTCTTACAGACTTAGCTAGCTAGTCAGTGGCCATCAGATTGTTATACTATCCCTCTTACAGATTTAGCCAGCTGGTCGGTGGACATCAGATTGTAATACTATCCCTCTTACAGACTTAGAGAAATGCAATAATAAAGATGAAATAAACAAATAATGAACAATATTGTTCTGAATGTAAAACAAAATCAGCGTGACTAGACCTGGAATTCAGATTGTTATACTATCCCTCTTACAGACTTAGCTAGCTGGTCAGTGGCCATCAGATTGTTATCCTATCCCTCTTACAGACTTAGCTAGCTGGTCAGGGGCCATCAGATTGTTATACTATCCCTCTTACAGATTTAGCCAGCTGGTCGGTGGACATCAGATTGTAATACTATCCCTCTTACACACTTAGCTAGCTGGTCAGTGGCCATCAGATTGTTATACTGTCTCTCTTACAGACTTAGCTAGCTGGTCAGTGGCCATCAGATTGTTATACTATCCCTCTTACAGATTTAGCCAGCTGGTCAGTGGACATCAGATTGTAATACTATCCCTCTTACAGACTTAGCTAGCTGGTCAGTGGCCATCAGATTGTTATACTATCTCTCTTACAGACTTAGCTAGCTGGTCAGTGGCCATCAGATTGATATACTATGCCTCTTACAGATTCAGCTAGCTGGTCAGTGGACATCAGATTGTTATACTATCCCTCTTACAGACTTAGCTAGCTGGACAGTGGTCATCAGAAGTGTCCTGGCCCAATTGTTCTACAGTTATATCCAAACGGAAGTTAAGAAGTTAATACATATAGGAAAAAAATAACAGTGCATTGAGACAGGGATCCTTTAATTTGAAAAAGTGGTTCTATTGATATGAACTGAGAAGGCAAATGAAACAATGGACATTAATTTTTTTTTTTTCTTAATACTGGACCTTTTTTGAATCAATAGATAATTTTTGATTTTATACTTGTGAACAGGTTGGGTCTGTACACAGTTACATCCCAGTTACCGCTACCTCCTACTTGTCAAGGAATCCCCTTACCTACTGGGAGCAGACCTACCTGTTTGGCCTCAACAAATATGCTGACCGCTTGGAAGAACTTATCAGACCCTTACTCCACAACAGGTAGAATGTTTAATGAGGAAGAATTTATGTTTTATGTTATGAATGCATGTTCTGGAATTTTTTAGCTTTAAGCTGTATTTGGAGAATGAACAAATATATTTATTACTTTGCTCACCAGGTTCGAAACTCAATATTAAATACTTGAACTAAGAAAACTTGACCAAGCTTATGTAATATCATATTCTGTTCCAGAACAGATAACAATGATTGCCACTACTCTGATTTGTGAACATAGTTTGAACTCTTAAAGAATGTCAATTAAGATTATAAGCGATGTTATTGGATCGGTACCATTTTCTTTTTGTTTTCTTCAGCCTTTCAAGTCCTCATTTGAAAGATGTCTTAAGATCTATAATGCTGATTGGTCCATCAGGATGTGGGAAGACAACCATGGCAACTGCTGTTGCTCGGAGACTGAACCTTCACATTTATAAGGTAAATAGGGATCATTGTCATATGATCAAATTTCCACTTAGCTGTCACATCTTTGTATATTATAATTTATAATATAAAGTTTTTTATAAATTATACAGGCGCATCGTTATGGGTTTTATAATTACATTGTATAAATGACTTGTTTAAGTTGTTATACTTTGTATAATTACATTGTACAAAAGATCTGTCACCGGTTTTATAATTCTTACATTGTACAGGTGAATCATTACCAAAAATTAATTTATACTGGTGCATTGTCACAGGGATAGGTCTAAACCTTGATGTTAAAATAAATATAATGAATTAGCAATAACAAAGTGTATGTTGTATACTTATATCCAACAGGTAAACTGTCACAGACTATATGGGGAATCTGCTAGAGTGATGGAAGCACGCATCAAAGACGTCTTCAATGCAGGTAATCATTTTTTATCACTTAATAATATTTTTAGTAATGACTGAGGGAAGTACCTGGTAGTCAATAAGGTGTCTATAGGGTATTCGTTTAAACATGTATCAGGTAGTCACTTAAACACTCAAGTACCAAGTAAATATTCAGACATAATGTACGAACTAAATATTCAGACATAATGTACGAACTAAATATTCAGACATAATGTACGAACCAAATATTCAGACATAATGTACGAACTAAATATTCAGACATAATGTACGAACCAAATATTCAGACATAATGTACGAACTAAACATTCAGACATAATGTACGAACCAAATATTCAGACATAATGTACGAAGTAAACATTCAGACATAATGTACGAAGTAAACATTCAGACATAATGTACGAACTAAATATTCAGACATGTATGAGGTAACTATTCAGACATGTATGAGGTAAATATCCAGACTTAATGTATGAGGTAAATATTCAGACATGTATGATGTAAATATTCAGACATAATGAATGAGGTAAATATCCAGACATAATGTATGAGGTATATATTCAGACATGTATGAGGTAGTCACTTACACATGTATGAGGTAAATATTCAGACATAATGTACGAAGTAAACATTCAGACATGTATGAGGTAAATATTCAGACATAATGTATGAAGTAAACATTCAGACATGTATGAGGTAAATATTCAGACATAATGTATGAGGTAAATATTCAGACATATTGTATGAGGTAAATATTCAGACATAATGTAATAGGTAAATATTCAGACATAATGTACGAACTAAATATTCAGACATCAGACATGTATGAGGTAAATATTCAGACATAATGTATGAGGTAAGTATTCAGACATAATGTATGAGTTAAATATTCAGACATAATGTAATAGGTAAATATTCATACATAATGTACGAACTAAATGTTAAGACATCAGACATGTATGAGGTGAATATTCAGACATAATGTATGAGTTAAATATTCAGACATAATGTACGAAGTAAATATTCGGACATTATGTATGAGGTAATTATTCAGACATAATGCATGAGGTAAATATTCAGACATGTATGATGTAAATATTCAGACATAATGTTTGAGGTAAATATTCAGACATAATGTTTGAGGTAAATATTCAGACATAATGTATGAGGTAAATATTCAGACATAATGTATGAGGTCAATATTCAGACAATGTATGAGGTAAATATTCAGACATAATGTACGAACTAAATATTCAGACATAATGTACAAAGTAAATATTCAGACATGTATGAGGTAAATATTCAGACATAATGTATGAGGTAAATATTCAGACATAATGTACGAAGTAAATATTCAGACATTATGTATGAGGTAATTATTCAGACATAATGCATGAGGTAAATATTCAGACATGTATGAGGTAAATATTCAGACATGTATGAGGTAAATATTCAGACATAATGTATGAGGTATATATTCAGACATAATGTA